ACAATCACGTTAACCTGCATCTTCAATGAAATTATAAAGTGCGCGCCGCGAGTTTTTCAATTTTTCTTAATGATCGAACCTCGTAACCAATTTTCTTAATTATAAAGTGCGAACGAAATGTTATTTAAAGGTAACAGTAGCCGCCTGGAGTTACTTATCAACAAAATTCATATAAATAAAGAACATTCCGAAGACGCAATTACCGGTAAATGATTGAAATAAATTAGACTAAAATTGATTTTATGCGTTAAATTTGTAACCTGTTGATTTCCTCCAATACAAAAGATGGACGTCATACAATTTAGTATGATAAATAAAAAGCAGTAAAATTGTCTCGGCTGATCGAAAATCAAAGTAGGTACTTAGAAAATGACGCAGTTAAAAACGTAATTAATTAATTGGTTGATGCAAACAAGTTCTCAGGACAAATACTAGTAGGTGTCATATTCTCCCATTTTTTGAACATTTCCTCAATTTGATAATTTACTAATTCCATCACACCTCCGCATATCCACCAATTAAATGTGGTATCTTGAACAGCAATAAACGCAACTTTAACCTCTAACGCTGTGCGTAAATTTTTTTCGTATAATAGTAATCTATACCCCATCATTTGCAAATTGTACACGACTGCGGTCTCTTAACAATCCATCTCAATTTAACAATGGTTACGTCTTATCACATAATATTTCACTCCATTATCCGCGTAGAAATGGAAGATTTGGTCTGCTCTTTTGAAATAACAACCTAAAGGAAATGCGAAATCATTTGTCTACATTACTTCATATGTATGTGCAGTGCAGTGTCATCTTAATAGACTCCATTCAATATTTGTCATAGAAACCCCAAGAAATTTTACTCATTTATACCATTTTTCGTGTAACCGCAAAGTAGTTACATTCATAATTTTAGTCTACTTTTGCCGCACATCGTGGAAAGCGTTTTTTTACTTAATTTGGAAAAATTCCTTTTTGCTTTAATCCTTTTCGAATGATTCTAACCAATACTTATTTTGCGCGGACATAAGTCTTATAATTTAGATATATCCTGGTAATTCGATTCAATTACAGTTTGATACAAGGTGTCATGAACTGGAAAATATTTTGTGGCGATAAAAATGTTTATTTAAGTTCCCAATCAGCCATCAACAAAAATTTGTAGAGCAATTTCTGTTTTTCAATGTACCAATTTAAAAGTGCATAGGATTGCATAATTGCTTGCATATTTTAGAAGAGTTTAAACTATTGATTTGAAAAGTTCCCTATGAAACCATGTCAGCCACCGCCACTATATCGGAAAGTGTTGGGCAATTTCTAATTTTTGTCTAACATAATAAAGTATGTGGATCACAGATTAAGCATCATTCTAATGACATGTTATTTTATATAAACTCCATATACTGTTGTCTTGTTAGATTGAGTTAAATACGTTTATAATTAAAATCGACTGATGGTACTTGTAAATGGTTTAAAGCTTTTATTTGTGGATTTAATTTATTAGGTATAAAGTATTGCTCCCATATAAAACGAGTTTGAGAGAATTTTAAATGGTGTAAAGTTTGGCTTTACACAGCATTATTTGTTAAGACCCCTATATGGAGTAGTTATTGACGATTAATAGGAAAATCTGCACAAATTTCCGATGTCATATTTTACGGACTTATCGATGTATGTGAAGAACGCTCAATATTGGTATTTGTTTATAAGGTAAAGTAGATCATCTCTAGGAAGGAATATTTTTTGTATCGGGGCTGGTTCAGCAGTTTTTTAGGCAATTAGGTAACTGTTTGTCAAAAATTACGCGGATATATACATATAACCAAAAAGACCCGTCACCCAAAAGTGTGAGGTAAATACACACACTTTGCCTTACATTCTGCCATAAAATTATCATTATGTAATGTGAGTCATTCTTGGTACTTCTCAGGTACGAACTTTGCCCACTACTTTTTATTAATTGAATCCTAATTTCTTTGCCTCTTGCCATGTTGTTCCTCTTCTTTCCATCAGAATAATTTCTATCTCCTCATTACAAGTTTTTTTCGGTCTTTCTCGAGATTTCTTCAAGGTATCCTTTCACTGCCCATATTCGCTTTACTGGCATCTCCTCCTTCTTCTAGTCAATGTTCAAGCCATCTTAACTGTTGATTTTCTATCTTTTGCACAATTACATCAACTCCCAATTTCGATCTTACTACGTCATTCCGTATTCTGTTTCATTTTCTTGTATCTCGCGCTTCAGTACATACTGTGTTCAATTTCCAGGTCTCACTTCCGAACAGAAGTATTGGCCTGTACACATGTTCTAAATTAGCCATTCTCTCTTCCTTTCCTATCACCATTATTTTTGTTTTCTGTATGTTTATCTTCCTGCTCCTCTTCGTTAATTCTTCTTTCCATGTTTTCAAGTTTGTTTTTAGGCCACTTTCATTTTTTGCACATATCGTTAAGTCGTCTGCAAAAAGACACTTCGATAGTTTCACCGGTGTCAATTTATTATACTCCACTGCCACTTTTTTAACTTTATTACGTATTGCTTTTGAAATATCGTCCACGATAATTATAAACAGTGTTGGGCTTAGCACTCGCCCTTGTCTTAAACCCCCTTCAACTCTTAATTTTTTCGACTGTGTATTGTCTTTGGTCTTTCCTCACATAGTTTTCATTGTCTATATACACACTTTTGATTCTCCGGATTACCTTCCTCCTAATCCTTCTTTTTTCGAGACTTTTCAATGTAGTTTCCTGGGTTATGCACTAGTGGGTCGTGAGCGTACTGCGATATCTGACCGCATAATATGGAGTCTGGAAATTACAATCCGTTGCGTCTTCAGCGTTGAAATTATAGGTGAATGTTTTGTATGTCAATGTATTTTCTGGTTTTGGCAGGCATTTGATTATATGAAGACCTCTTCCCCGAATGTTCGGCTGGTTGTTTCAGGATCCCGGCTTCTACAGTTTTGATGCTCTTGTTAAAAAGATTTTGAATGGCAAATGAGTGTTTTGCTTCAGAATCGCCACTTGAATTTTTTGTGCATTGTCTGACACAGTGACACATCAAATTTTGCAATTTATTTCATTTTAAAATATAAAACTGCGAATATCTTTGTAAATTTTAAACTCTCTTTAAGGATTTTAGCTTGGAATTATTTCCGTACAATCTTCATGAACAAATTTTTGCTGTGCAAGTGAAGTTATAAGAGCTCCGAACTGTCATGTTTGAAATTTTATTGCAGAGTCGCAATTCGAAATTGTATTTTTGTGCATTTTCCACTCTCGATTTGAAAATGTTGGCCATTAAGGTTTCATGTTAAAAAATACATTTTTTTAGATTCCTTGCTTAAATTATTTCAAGGCTCTTTTTAAAATTACGAATTGGAATTTATAATTACTAATATTGTCCAAGTTCAGAAACTCCGTTCCAAATTACAGCTTGAATTATTTGTGCACCCTTTAGTCCCTCAAATTATAAAATGTTTTTCAAGTTGAAGTATAAAGCTGCGAAATCCGAAATTATTCCTGTTGTTTGAAATTTCAGTTCAGGGTTGAAGGGTCACCTTTTAACTCTCGAGTTTTGGATTGAAAATAGGTCCCTTTTCATGATCCCTGCTTTACAGTATTTCTTATGCAGCCCTCACTCTCCAAATTTTAAAATCTAAGGTTTCAAGTGGACGTGTACAAGCCAATAAAATCTCCCATTTTTAAACTTAACGGTTTCACTTCGGAATAACGACTTATACGCTTTATCCTATGTGTCCTTCCATCCCAACATGTTGAAACTTTAGAACTTCAAGTGGATGGAGACCTATTGCTTTATTCATTACCGAAATTAGAAGGCTTAAAACTTCATTATTGAAATTTGCTTCACAATCGCGGCTTGAAATATCTTCAATTCTTACATTTCCAAATTTTCAATCTTCTCAAGCTGCAACATAGACTACGAATGTTCTTCAAACTTTGCTACTTGATTATTCAGTATTTCTGCTTCAAATTCAGTTTTTATACTACCCATCTTAAAATTAAATGGTAAAGCTGTGGATGGTTACATCAACTAACGTTTCAGATTTCTACTTGAAACTTTCGTTTGTACAAAATAAGTAAAAGTAATAACGATGCGCAGGGGCGGACTGGCACGGGGGGGGGGGGNTTCCTTTTTTACCAAAAATCGACTACACCAAAATTTCTCGGGAAAACACTTTTTCTTATTAATTGTGGTGCGTAGAATCCAAAACAATTCGTACTTTTTCGATTAGACTTCTCAATCAAAAGTTATAGACTAGAAACCAATTTCGAAAAAAAATTTAAAGGGCTGTAACTTTTTGAACTAGTAGCTCAATCTTGGAACTGTTTGAAATTATGGATTCTACAGGCCACATTCTATAAGAAAATTTTTTTTCCGGATCGATCTGAGACAATGTTTTTTTCGGGGCTCAAAAAAAGGCAGTGTATAACCAGGGGCGGGGGGGGGGGGGGGGGCGGGTGACGATTGCCACCTGGCCTGTAGATCATAATGGCCCGTTGATGAAAATTTATAAGTATGTGCTGTATTTAGTTTCTTGCACTATTAATAAATTATTAACACGTTTCTCTAATCACTAATACTTTAATGGCCCGTACCCTATGCAATTCCACCTGGCCCGCAGTTACCCAGTCCGCCCCTGACGATGCGTATAAGCCAACTTTCATGTATAAAACTGAAAATATTTTAACTGAAACGCGCTTATTGAATAATCCATATGGCCCATTTTTCAAGATTGTATTTGCATTAGTTTCCCATATCATATTTTAATAATCGACTCACAGTCGTAAAAATTCGTTCGTTTTATCCTTCCCCTATATAACCTTACTACAAAAAATCTAATACTGAATATAATTGTTGTTATTCAAAAGTCATTCATTTATGACAAGTATGGGTAATGGAATGCGACATGTCTTCCTCTTCTTTCAATGTAAAGCTGCTTTGAAATTATGAATGATTGTTAATGGATGTATTTTTTCCAGGTTCAATCGGAACCGAACATGGTAGTTGGGGTTCGAATACACCTGAGCAAGCTTCACCGGCTCCAAGTTCATGTGCAACTCCCAGTTCAAGCTTGAGTGACATAGCTGACTCTGAAATAGCGTTTACAGTTGGGATCACTGAAACCACCCCGTATGCCTGCAAAATATGCAATAAAGCGTTCGCCAGGTCATCTTTATTAAGCAAACACGAACAGGTACATAACTATATAGTTTACTGACGACGCGCGATTCAGGGTTTGCTGAATCAGGGATTACAAATTTGTTGGAGTCTATATTGATTCACTTACATACGTATACAGAGCAAGTGGATCAAAAAAATGGAAGCAAAGCAGCACCAAATCTTTTTTTTTGTTAACTATTATACGACATTAAGGCAAAACCTCCTCTATCACAATAAATTAGGGGTTGATTTCGTATAATATGTGATTGTGTAGACCTTCCTAATCTACGTACCTGAATCCACAACCTTTAGGAAAGAAACTAAAAGCATTCAATATGCGAGTCGGATCTTCCGTAACACCCATGATCGATTCTTTTTCAAGAAAAGCTTTTAACCATTTATGAATAGTATTTTCGGTAACCGAAACACGACTTTTAGATATAATTTCTAAGTTTCGTTTTGCAACCTTTGTAACATGCGTATTTTCAGCAAAAATGAGGATTTTTGTTCATTCGCTGGCCAGTGGCCATGTTCGTTAACCCCTAATGTTATAATTTTCGTTTTGGATTTTTGGTTTATTTGTAAAAATGTTTGTTTTGGTCGTCTCTGCCACGCAATGTTATACATATAACTTTTTTACATGTGGCAATTCAGTTCCGACCACAATTAGTTCAATTTAAAAAGTATCTTGCTTTCTTCTTAATGGTACCTATGAAGGTAATGTTGACTGTTGGTAATTAATAACGAGATATATAGCAATCAGATATGAAGTGCAAAATTGTTATTATACCCTACTGGCACCATACTTGAGATAGTTAAAAAGTAAGTGGTTATCGATTGGATTCGTTCATACTGTGTCTATTATTGAACTTGTAAAGCCGTGTGTTATGAAATACGTAATGATCAAGTTGATAAGCCATATACGGGTGCGTTACAGTTTTTATAATCCTTAGTAATTGTACAACTTTGATCATGCCGACTTATTTTACGCTCAACGTGCTGGAACACATTTTAAAAAGCTCAAATCGCAGATACGATCTCCAGTTTCTTAGACCAACTGTAATAAATGACATTCCCTTGGTAACCTTTGGTTACACTAACATCACTTGACTTTTTTATGTTTCAAATGGCGTATTGAATTCGCATTTTCAGAGAACAAAAAATAGCAGCAAAATATAAAATGAACTGTGATGTAACACACTTGAGTACTTTTAATTTTAACATGAATAAAATGTAAAAGTAGTGCAATTTTGAAAATTGAAATTTAGAGTAAAATGGCAACCAGAAATCTGAAGGTATTAGAATCTTGTGGTGCATGAACAGTTATACCTACCTACCCAAAAAGGAAAAATGAGGTCATTCGCAATAAATTTGTATGGCTAACAGGTTAAACTAATATAAAAAAGGTCCGGTTTTTAGAGTTAACTCACGTGACAATAGGTGGTGGAGGAGGACACGAAGTAATTTTATTTATTTTTACATTATGACACTAGTCAGGTCAAGCTTAAAACTGTAACCTAACGTGTAACAAGTTCCATATTAAAATTACCACATTTCTGTCTACGTACTTATACAGAACTGCCATATATTTTATACTTGTTTTACACGTTTGCATTTTACTTGTTATCTGGACTCCCTTGAAGTGTGCACATCATACGTTCATACCGTACCATTACGCAATAATTCCTGAAAAGATTCGTATATTGCGGAAACTCAATTGATTTACCTATACTTTAGTATTTTCTCCTAGACTTTACGTATGCTGATACGAATAATTAAAATACCTGCCATTTTTGATTGGATTGTCGAATTTTCTGAATTCAGCGAAAATTTTTAACAGATTTTTTTCTTTATAGTCTCACACGGACCAACTGCAATATGGATGTTCGTACTGTCCCCGGTTATTCAAACACAAGAGGTCACGTGACCGGCATATCAAATTGCATACCGGGGACAAAAAATACAAATGTGTCCATTGTCAGACAGCATTCTCCAGAAGGTCAGTAAACACACATAATAACATTAATCTGTAAGAGTCAGAGTTAATCATAATATATTTCAACTATTCCTGTGACTGTGAGTAGGTCTACTAGGCGCAATTAATTATTCACTACCGCAAAATAGATCAGTGTTACAAAATGCACGTGCATATAAAAATTCGCCACCGGTAGTTTATTCCTGTAAGGCAAATCGTGAATGATCGGCATTTAACAAAATATTCCATTTATAGAATTCAATGGCCCATAGAAGGCCCATGGGAAAATTAATAATGTCGCTTCTTAGCGTTTACATACAGTCGAAAAAATACTAAAAGTCGCAATTTAGGATAACGTTGTTTCCTCCAAATGCATGACAAATGGCGAAATACCTAATTACCTACATATTGTTATAATCTATACAAAATGCAAGAGCGACATTTGGAAAATGTAATTTGCTTATTACTTAATTTGTTTGAAACTTGACCAACTAGTTTTGCAAACTGAAACAACTTTGCAATCTTTACAAGGGGAAAATGAAATACTCTCACATCGTTCTCAAGCAAAAGTTTTGGGTACGTTTTGGATTGGTTGTCAAGTGATGGAAATGGTAAGTTCTGGAGATGCCAACTAGGAGGAAGGCGCAAAGCCAGACTACGCAGTTGGGAAGATGGAGTTGTTTTGAAAACTATATCCATCAACATTCACACGAAGCGTCCGTTGCAAAGGTAGAAGTTCAAAAAATCATTTCCAGGGTTAAAAGTGGTCCAGCTGACACTATTGAACCCAAAATACCCATTCTGAACGACTGCACTTTAGATGCATCTCAAGCAGCACAAAATGCACTTGCTCGGTTCCAACCGCATAAAAAGACGGACAAGGAAAGGCTTGGAAATCCGTGCGGACTTAATAGAGTATTAAGAATAAGGCAAAATCTAGAGGTTCTTCGAAAGTCTAAAGAATGGTACGTTTAAAATTGCTCCTATGTTATTTAGTCAAATATACCGTGCTAGCATCAAGGAGTAGGTACACATGTTTGGAAGATGTGAGCCTGTGTTGGTGGTCGTCATATCGCAAAATGACGACCTACACGATGACGGGTGTGGTTTATTTTATAGAAAATTACGCGTCCCGAGCGTTTTTAGCAATCATACCTGTGATACCTATAACAAATTTTTTGGTCAATATATAAGGCCTCATTCTGAACATGTATACACATTTTCGGCTTTTTCCACAAAAATGTATGGGATTGTGTATAAAATATTCTAAGCTCGTAGCGTTTTCGACTAGTAAAACTCGTGGGGTAGCAACTTCTAGGTCTTGTTGGTAGCTGGTAGGGGTAAGTTAAGCTAAATCATTTTACTGAGTTGGCGTTTTGTAGAGGTAGAAGGCACAAAGTGTTAGTTAAAAGCCTACATGAAATTCCCAAAATACAAAAACTGGTATAAAAGGGAAGGTGTCTTTCTGAAACATTCATGGCAACCCGCTCCACCTGACGTGCATTTAGATATTGCAATTTTGTGAGCTTTGGTTCCAAGCGACGGCACATATAGCGACATCAAATGTTGTAGTAGTAAATATATTAATTTCAACAGAGCTTAAACATAAGCAATCGCGATGTAGGTACCGATCTATGATTGTATATCAAGTTGTGATTTTACATGGAACATCATTCTTAATCCGTAGTTTCTAATTACTGTTTAAATACATGAAGTATTACCATTAAAAGTCGACGAGATTGCTCGCCGATTTTCATATACAGGAGCGTGTAGGTACATAAACACAAACTACTTAGTTGTAATTGAGGCAAGTTTCTAGTTTATACCTTTCACACGATACTCTACAAAGATTCCTACAGATTCCGACGTCTCAAGGGGATTAATAATGTCAACTTCCTTAAGTTGCCATTGCATTTTACGTTTTAAATCAATATATGACGGTGTTAACATTGTTTTACTGTTTCAAGATCTCGTTCCACGTTCAGTACTCATTAGGTTGTGTTGCATCATCCTAATTAGAACTTTTTCTTTAATACTAATTAAAAAATCTCCGGCTTTCCTTACAGTGACCATTTAAAGATCCATATGAAGACACACGATAACAGTAAACCGTTCCGTTGTTTAATTTGCAACAGAGGATACAATACGGCCGCCGCACTTACCTCTCATCAGCAAAGCCATTCCAAACAAAACACTGAAGGTGGGAAAAGCCCTGGGTCTTTTAAATGCCACCAATGCCCAGAAACTTTTACCAGATACGATTTATTGCAAGTATGACAAATGAATCTTATGTTTTAAAAACTTTTGCCCACGAAAACCTCTCAAATTACTTCCCGATAATAATAAACATATTTTTTTTAAATTATTACTGCCATTTTTTGTAAAAAAAAACGAATCATAGAAGTTAATTTAAGAGCATTCTACGGGTAAAGGTTTCAACCAGTTTACGTATAAATTATAATTTATTACAGTTTCACACATCTTCAATGCACACTACACTTGGAGTTACTTGTGCATCGCAGAGCATGGCTTCCACCCCTCTCCAAGAATTGCCTAAATGGGTCTGTATGTATTGCGGAAGAGACTTTTTAACTATCGACGAAATGCAACATCACGTCAATCTAGACCATAGCGCAATACTGAACGGAAATTTTACGAATAATGCTTCCAAACCGACCACAACATCCGAAACTTCTTCGCCACTAAATGATAAAGGTTCGCCGATTCATGAAAGTAACAGTTCACCAACATACGCTTGTGACAGTTGCACAATGCAGTTTGATTCAATTGAAAAGCTACGGGTCCACGAAAATTGTATTCACTGGAAACCTCCCCAACCATTAATTTCGGCTCCTGCTTTATACGTGAAGGATTGCAATGCCTGTCTTCCACCATCCGAAAGAGTGACCACGGACGTATTAAGTGCCTCTCCAACCTCGCAGCCGGTACAGTCTCACCCTACCGATTTGAGTCGAAAACGTCGCGCAGGTGATGTAGAGAGCCCAGTTGTTGCAAAAAGAGAGTCTAACGATTTAAGTAACCACAGTATGGCTGGTGGTTCTCGCGATTCCTCCAAAAAAGAAGAATGGTCAAGTTACATCTGCAGTATATGTGGAACTCAACTGCCAAATTTTGCGTCATTTATGGTTCACATGGATATACATATGTCTGTAAACGCTACGCCTACAAATGTAGTGTTAGGAGGATACTGTCCGCTTTGTGGCGAAGCTTATCGTGATCAAACTGAGCTTAATAATCACATCGTGTTGCACACTTTATCATATAAGCCAGGTTGGTGTTGTCGTGTCTGTAAAAAGGTTTTTAATGAAGACTTGGAGGACTTGCAAAGACATCTTGTGGAAAACCATACATGCACAACGTATAGATGTTGTGTTTGCGAACAGATATTTGAGACCAAATCGGCAATGCTAGTAAGTGTTTTGTTCAGTCCTGCAATTTGTAGTTAATAATTCTGTTTTAGATTCATTTGACAAAAAAACACAGCAGTGAGTGTCAACATTACCGTTGTAAGTTTTGTCCAGAGCAAATATTTCACAACCAACTTAGCGCCGAGATGCACATATCTCAACATGTACCACGTTTATTTAATCCATCGCGGAAATCTAGTTTCGGATCTTTTCCATTTCGTGCCGATTACAATACAAGGGTGGATCGACTTGGCAAGAACCTCCAATGTCCGTTTTGTCGACAGTGTTTTAAAGGAGAATATCTACACCAAATCCACATGTTAAAAGAACACAAGAACTATAGACAGGTGGGTAACCATTATTCCCTACCTAAATCTGTAGCTACATGCTTGATCCTTTAATAAATTTCCCAAGCTACAACTCGACAAACGTTTTCAGGCGCATACATCAACAATGACCGAAGAGTGTTCAATTGATCAACTAGCAACTAGAAGTCAAAGGGAGGTCCAGGACAATTCTTCGGTACTATATACTAATAGTATAACTCCTTCCGATAACATTTCGCGATACGAGAGAGGTATCAACGAAAACTTCATGTGCGACATATGCGGCACAACGGATTTCAGCAGCGAGACTGAACTAATTAGTCACAAAAAGCTACATCATGTTAAATCAAAGATCGGCCCGGTAAGCCTCCAGTGTGCGTACTGTAACGAACATTGTAAATCGCGATCAGACTTGGAAAATCACATGAAAAATCACCAAGTAAACAGTAGCAAAGGTAAACACAAGTGCAACATTTGTGACGAAATATACACTTCGGCGATCATTTTGGCCGAACACAAACTTTCTCACTGTAAAATAGTGTCTGGAAATACGTGCACTCAATGTAAAGCCATCCTTACAGACGAGCAGTCGTTTTATTCCCATCAAGTTCAGCATAGCGCAGTATTAAATAAACCAAATTCACAAATTTCTTTACCGGCAAACTGCATTATTTGTTGCCAAACGCTCCAAACTGATGTCGAAATTAAACTTCATTCGAACTTCCACTTGCAACATATAATCCACAAGGAATTTTTGTGCAGCATGTGCAATCACATTTTTGATACTCGTACCGGCCTTCCTCTTCAAGGATACGAGAAGAATTCGGAAAATCTACAAATTGCAATATGTAAAGAATGCATGCGGAAGTGTAGCAACAATGGCACTTCTAGCAGTCCCATAATACAAAGTACCGAGTGTGTAGACAAAAAAGTATATTCTTGCGGGAAATGTCCAAAGACATTCGAAAATGAAGGCGATGTAAAGAAGCACGCGGTAACGCATGTAGTCAGTGATGGTGCCACTCACGAATGTCACATTTGCAGAAGTATCTTTCCATCAGCACTAAAGCTGCAGCTGCACGTTATAGAGCACAGTTTTTTTGGAACGGGCCAATTCCGATGTTATATTTGTAGCTCGATATTCACAACTGCAAACGGTTTGCTTACTCATATGCTCGATCATGGCGTTAACTCAAAACCTTACGAATGTGCGACGTGCCAAATGAAGTTCTTCTTTCAAACTGAATTGGACAACCATAAATACGATCACATACTCGTGCGGACCATCCATACGCCCATTCTGATGAATTGTAAATCAGAGGGTGAGAACGCATCGGAGAAAATAAAGCGGGAGGTGTTGAACAACTGTCCTTACTGTGATATGTTAACGTCACCAACGTACATGGAGATTCATTTAAGATGCTGTAATCAAAATCCGGAGTTCAAAAAGAATACCGATGAAAAACGTAAAATAAAATTTGCGGAGAACAATAATGCGTCAACAAACGAAGAAAAGAAGACTTAATTATATTGTGTTGTTCTCTGACCTACTATACATTGTTTTCTTAATGAAGGGCAATAACTACATTACCTTAAAGAGACGAGAACTCTTATTTAATGTTAAAGTGATAGTTTTTCAACTTTGCAATTTAATTGAACTGGAATTAGTATAACTATAGTAGATATGTCAATACCAATGTGATAATACCACTTAATGGGTTAGGGCGACATCAGCGTCACATTATTTACCATTACCTGTTCTGATTACGTGCATTATAAACATGTCACGTGGTCTGCGAATAATAATTTAGTCTTATTTTTAGACGATTTAGTGATGTGAAGTTTCCATGGAGAAGGGACTGTTCTGTAAAAGAGAAAGGTCTCGATTGTTTAAATTTTATCCAGACAGCATACCAACTAGGCTCCAGAAGTCGCACATATGCTCAATACTAGTACTATATGGATAAACCTTTTCATTTAATTTTCAAAGGGGAGCAAATTGATTTGAGGAATATACAGGGTCATTAGCAAAATACTTAAATTAAAAAACTACCATTACGATTATTGGGCTTGTTTTATTTTCCTTTTTTACAAAATGTTTCTCAACGTTGATTTTATATTTACAAGATCTTGCACCCTGAAATACATTTACAATATGAGACAGTCTTACAGGAATTATGGTTGTAAGTTTGGTATGCGCCGATAACACCCTGTATAGAAAAACACTAGTTACATTTGACTATGTAAAGTGTTAGCTCTAAGTGTTAGATGTTTATTCTTCTACTATTCGAGTCCTTTAATCGCTTAAGTTCAGAAGTTGCTTTCATAAACTTTACATCATTGAAATCTACAATTTACAAATGCCTAAACATTAAAGTAAAGTTTGTTACGCACGTTATAGTTGTATACATATTAATTCGGAAAATTGTTGCCCCTTTTCGCAAATCCTTAGATATTAAGGAAAAAGTTAAAACGTTTTTTGAAAGTTTCGCTATTGTTTTTGAATGGATACAAGTCAAGCATTTTTGTAAGTGTATTCCAACGACCTAAAGTTTGTTTAAATTGATTGTAACAATAAAAATACCTGCCTACTTCTGTTCTTTATTTACCTACCGAATTGAACAAAATCTACCCGTGCGCCTATTTTTACTAGTATAAAAATTATTGTTATCAAGTTATATTGCATTTATTTTATTGCAATAGGGTTTGTTACCTATAACTTTTGGCGTGCCGAACTGATCTTTACCTATATTATTGACGATTCTTTTATGTTTTGGCCTCTAGCCGACTGAGAGACGTACAATGTAAACCTAAGGCAGCATAAATAGGCAATTAGGAGACGTCAGACAGAGCCATGGAAGAGCTTCTGGAGCTCGGTAAAAATAATCCTCCTCTGTACCGCGCTTAAACAAATAGTCAAATACCCGCATTACTTCGCCCCCAGCAAATCTCGGATCAGCAGAGAGAATGGTTGGTATGATTACGAGTAGACCTATGCTTTGTTATGGAGCAATTGTCTGGTGGGCTAGAACTAGACAGAACCGCCAGAGTCATATGCAAAGACTAACGTGCTTTGCGTGCATCGGAATCATGCGTACCACCCCCACAGCCGTTATAGAAGGTATCCTGGATCTGCCTGAGGGTAACCTTACGATTGCGAACAAAGGGATGATTGAACAACGGAGGAGACGAAGTAATATACTTTAGATACTCTCGAATTAAGTTGAGACAGTCACACGGGTGCTGTTGGAATTGTCCAATATACCTACCTTACAAATAATATGTGATGCGATGGTAGAATTAACTTTACAGCAACTAACTCCTGCAGACGTCTATTAATTTGGACTTTACTTACACGTAGGATATTACAAATTAAGAGCATTCTTAACAATTAATAACCACCAAATTCGATTATCTTAGTATATCCATGGCCTAATATACTCTTATTAGGCCATGAGTACATCGTTAAAAGAATTAACACAAGACAATTATAGGCCTTTGAAAGATGATAGTAAGCCCCTAAAATTAATAATTAAAATTTTAAAGACAAGCAGATCGAGGCTCTCTCCAATAGAATAAGCATCTTAGAATAGCAAAATTGTAGAAACACATACGGAATGCAAAAAAACCAATCAAAGAGCACCCGGACAGATCTTTAGCGATATCGTGGGAAAAATTGGGTGACCCTAAATTAAATGGAGAGTAAACAGGTAAGTCGGTCATCCCTTAAAAACAATGACATAATAATTGTTACGGTTTGGATTAATGGACGTAAATGGTAGCTCCGACAGTATACCTATTAAATAGACAAGCAACAGGATATACTTTAATGAATGACCTCTTGAATGACTCACAAAATTTGGGTTATTTATAATCGAGAAACGCGAAAGAAAGCATTTATATACGTATGCACAAAAAACGGACCCATTTTGGTAAAAAAAGACGATATTGAAGAAGCAATAAGAGAATTAATTCTGTAAGTGACGTGGACAAGTAGATACATAGTATACGCTGGAAGTGCAGTAGGCGGATGTTGATACAAAGTAAGTTTAACCACGTTATTTAATATAAGTAATTTTGAAGTTATTCTAATGTCTGAAGTAAATAAATAACGGAATACAATAATTGCAAATTTTACCATAAAAAATAAAATTAAATACTCCTTCTATATCCTTTGAATGCATTAACATTGTTGCAAACTTTCTTAATTTAAGAAATTAAAGTCACGAGAGATATACGAACATTAATTTACTTGAAAATAATTGCTTATTACCCATGAATATCAAACACAACTTATTTGACACGGATTGATCGTCGCAATTGAAGGGGCAACCCGAGAGGAAATCAGGGAAAGCAATCTACACAAATCCCTCTTAGATCACATCTTCATTGGCTCAAACATAGAAAAGTTAAATTAGCAGTAATTAAGCACTTAATGTCGGACCATTTACGTATTTGCTTACATCTGGAGTCAGATCTCTTCCGTAAGCCATCTTAGCCATCGCTATTATAATCTCATCCTACCCATAAAAAATACACAGAACATAACTTGCCGAAAACTAGAAGATAACAATGTAAATTATTTTACCAAAAATATCAACAGTTTCAAGTGCTTATAGGTACAATACAATGCAAACGAAATAACAGATGCACAGGAAAAATTAAGAAGATTTACTAAAACATGGATGACTGACACTGTATTGTTATGTGGATTAATAACAGCAATATCGAAAGGAAATCAACTAGATAGGTACGTGATTAACAAAAAGAAAAGCAAGGACGTAGATATGAAAATTACTCTACTATTGGGCAATATTACACTTTCTTCGTAAACTTTAATAAACAAGCCGATAGTTTTAAAAAAACTGCCAACATCGTGTAACGCAATATTGCTGATGATTGCAGCCTATCCTATAGGACTTCAATTAAAAAATGATCAACAATCTTGATATAAGAAAGTCACCAGGTGCAGATCAAATAAGAGCAGCAGACATAAAAAACAATACCGCCGAAATAATCGATTATGTTTAAATGGGCTGTAAGCAACCCTAAAACTGCCCTCTAAAAATAAATTTCATTCTCGTTTTAGTCTTAAGTAATTTTCTGGAAATTTCACACTTAGATGAATAGCAATCGTTCATTGCGCGGGTTGCAACTTCTGTAGTGGTCCAAATGTTTTAGATTATATGATCGATTATGTTTAAATGCCTTATAAGAAACACCAAAACTGCCCTTTTAAAATAAATTTCATTCGCGTTTTAATCTTACGTAATTTTCTGTAAATTTCACACTTAGATGCATACCAATCGTTCATTGCAGGGGTTGCAACTTTTGTAGTGGCCCAAATGTTTTTGTTTATTTGATCGAGTATGTTTAAATAATCTATAAGCAACCCCAAAACTGCCCTTGAAAAATAAATTTCACTCTCGTTTTAAATTTACGTAAATATCTGGAAATTTCATACTTGGATGCGTAGCAATCGTGCATTGCGGGGGTTGCAATTTTCTTAGTGGCCCAAATGTTTTTGTTTATTTGATCGATTATGTTTAAATGATCTATAGGCGACCCGAAAACTACCCTTTTAAAATAAATTTCACTCTCGTTTTAAACTAAGGTAATTTTCTAGAATTTTCACACTTAGGTGCATAGTAATCGTTAATTGCGTGGGTTGCAACGTTTGTAGTGGTCCAAATGTTTTTGTTTATTTGATCGATTATGTTTAAATAAGCAACCCTAAAACTACCCTTTTTAAATTTCATTCTCGTTTTAAACTTAGGTAATTTTCTGGAAACTTAGATGTACACGGAGAAAAATGTATGTTAAAGATAATTAAAAATATAATAAATAGCTATCAAAAAATACAGGGTATCTATAAAAGAACTCCGGGGTTTTAAGACAAAATATTTTAATACAGTAAAAAACGTACATACATGTTTTATACATGATTAGAAAGCTTACATTTTCAAGATTTTTTAACAACTTAGTAAAGTTCAATGTGAGCTCCGTTAGTTAGTTAGTCCAGACGACACTGACTGCCTGCCGCAGCCGTTACGTCATTTCACGGTCAACGCTCCGCAGCGCTGCCAACTGTTGAGAGAAACATTCCCAATTCGTATGAGTAAAACTCTTTGAGCTGCTTGTTTCAAAGGAATTGATCAAATTTTGCTATCTTTTATAGTTTAAAAAATATTAATTTTTTAAACCCCGGAGTTCTTTTATAGACTCCCTGTATAATACGTATGGGGATAGATATAAAGAATTATAAAATTTATCATATACATATTGTTGCAACTGTATAGCTAGTTTTAGTATATATTGTTTCAACTCATACAAAAAAACTGTATGTAACGGCAACCATCTCATATGCATGCTCTTGTAATACGGGAGTAGTTGAATTAACATCTCTGCTTTGTATTAATAAGTAACTTAGATTATTGCAACTAATATACACACCCTGCCAAAAATCGACTGCACCAAAATTTCTCGGGAATTCTTATTAATTTTGGTACGTAGAATCCAAATCAATTCGTACTTTTTCGATCAGACTTCTCAATCAAAAGTTATAGACTAGAAACCAATTTCGAAAGAAAATTCAAAGGGCTGTAACTTTTGAACTAGTAGCCCAATCTTGGAACTGTTTGAAATTATGGATTCTACAGGCCACATTCTATAAGAAAATTTTTTTTTCCGGGTCGATCTGAGACAATTTTTTTTTCGGGGCTCAAAAAAAGGCAGTGTATAACCTTCCTTTTTTACCAAAAATCAGGATACACACATATTGGTTTCGAATATATAAAATTATAAGTTCAAAAATCATGATATATTTGCAACAATAAGGTATAATATGGGTTGTTAAACTAACAATCTTTCAACCGCAAGGTTTTCATTTAAGAATGCGTTATATACTAAACTGTATTATACCTACCTACACAAATAATAAACCCATTTCGTTAATAAACTATATTTTAATGTTTATTATCTATTTGCTCTTGGATATATTTACATATCTAAGATCATATTTCATACAATATCATTATTATAGTGAGAATAATTTTGATTAGACATATTCATATTGTACAGCGTGTGTCAAGGTTTGTTTGATTTAATCGTACTGATTACAATATAATTTTTACTACATGATTTTAACATTCCATTTTTCTCCGTGTATAGCAATCCTCGACTGTAGGGGTTGTAACTATTGTTGTAGTCCAAATGTGTTTGTTTATTTGATCGATTATTTTTAAATGATCTATAAGCAACCCTAAAACTACTCTTTTAAAATAAATTTCATTCTCGTTTTAAACTTAGGTAATTTTCTCGATATGTCGCACTGAGATGTATAGATAGCAATCCTCGACTGCGGAGGTTGTAACTATTGTAGAGGGTCAAATGTTTTTGTTTATTTGATCGATTATGTTTAAATGCGTTATATGCAACCCCAAATCTACCCTTTTAAAAAAATTTTATTCTCGTTTTAAACTTACGTAATTTTTTGGAAATTTCACACTTAGATGTATAGCAATCGTTCATTGCGAGGGTTGCAACTTTTGTAGTAGCCAAATACGTTATAAGAAACCCGAAAACTACCCTTTTAAGTTAAATTTCATTCTCGTTTTAAACTTAGGTATAATTTACTGGAAATTTCACACTTAGGTGCATGGCAATATTCGACTTCAGGGGTTGTAACTTTTGTAGTGGCCCAAATGTTTATGTTTATTTTATCGATTATGTTTAAATGATCTATAAGCAACCTTAAAACTGCCCTTGAAAAATAAATTTTACGCTCGTTTAATATTTACGTAAATTTCTGGAAATTTCGTACGTGGATGAGTAGCAATCGTGCATTGCGGGGGTTGCAACTTTTGTAGTGATCCAAATGTTTTTGTTTATTTTATCGATTATGTTTAAATGATCTATAAGCAACCTTAAAACTGCCCTTGAAAAATAAATTTTACGCTCGTTTAATATTTACGTAAATTTCTGGAAATTTCGTACGTGGATGAGTAGCAATCGTGCATTGCGGGGGTTGCAACTTTTGTAGTGATCCAAATGTTTTTGTTTATTTTATCGATTATGTTTAAATGATCTATAAGCAACCTTAAAACTGCCCTTGAAAAATAAATTTTACGCTCGTTTAATATTTACGTAAATTTCTGGAAATTTCGTACGTGGATGAGTAGCAATCGTGCATTGCGGGGGTTGCAACTTTTGTAGTGATCCAAATGTTTTTGTTTACCCTTTTAAAAAAAATTTCACTCTCGTTTTAAACTTAGGTAATTTTCTGGAAATTTCACATTTAGATTCATAGCAATCTTCGACTTTAAGGGTTATAACTTTTGTAGTGATCCAAATGTTTTTGTTTATTTGATCGACTATGTTTAAATGGGCTGTTAGCAACTTCAAAACTACCCTTATAAGATAAATTTCATTATCGTTTTAAACTTAAGTAATTTTCTGGAAATTTCACTTTTACATGCATAGCAATCTTCGACTTCAGGGGTTGTAACCTTTATAGTGATCCAAATGATTTTGTTTATTTGATCGATTATGTTTAAAAATGAGCTATATGCAACCCGAAAACTACCCTTTTAAAATTAATTTCATTCTCGTTTTCAGCTTACGTAATTTTCTGTAAATTTCATACTTCGTGCATTGCGGGGGTTGTAACTTTTTTAGTGGTCCAAATGTTTTCGTTTATTTGAACGATTATGTTTAAATGGTGTATATGCAGCCGCAAAATTGCCCTCTACAATTAAATTTCATTCTAGTCTTAAACTTACGTAAATTTTTAGAATATTCACACTTACATGCATAGCAATCGTTGATTTGGGTGGTCAATGAATGATCTGTAAACCTTGGAGTTCTGCAAGGTAGCAATAGCAACTTAGCACCAATTATGTTTCTGATTATGTTAATAACATATTTAAAGAAGTTATGACTGCCAAATTATTTTTGTATAGGCAGACGGTGCAGCACTTCTGTTCTCTTACTAAGATATTGATACTGTTTGGGCCTTACCAAACTGTATGTGGCCATTGATAAAAAAATTCGACGCATACAACGTATATCGGTTTATAATAATATACGACAAATATGTCGATTACCTTGTCTGAAAAATAAATAAAACCATGGGTTGCATCAATATACTCAAAAGGTCTACTCATCTACTCATTTATAAAATTTAAAAATTTTTAAAAACAACAACTATGGGTTACAAGACATATGGGGATGTGTATAGATACACCTAAACAAGTTAGATTTACTGCAAGTGAGAATATTAGAATTAATTTAAAAATATCAAAACAATACAGCGCTCTTGAATAACGCACATATTTACTAACCTACTGTGGAGATTCCAATATTAAATACCAAAGAGTAGTTTCCTTTTGATTATTTTATAAATTAAAGGAACCATACATAATTATTGATGTATATATTTAAATTTACTAAAATATTGTATACAGATGCATATAGCCTTAGCAGCTGCGCATCTTTTTTTCAATAAAAAAAAGGAACCAAAGCCAGTATTCTTTCTGAAATCCACCACCCTCGTATATTCATAGAATTGCTTTCAACAGCTGTCCTGCATGTAAATTCAGTCTCTTATGCGGTTTGTTACAATTGTGACGGTTTTTTTCCGAAACTATACACGTCATTTTCTGAGCAATTATATAAAAGGAGTAGATAATCTAGATCTGACAACAACAAAGTCAGTGGCAACTTAAAGACACTGGTTGCACATATACCTACTTTGAATTTATCGTACAGATCTATCAATCTATGACAAATGAATGAACAACCAAAACTAGATGCTTTTGATTTTGTGAATATCATCAAAATGCGGTGCAGTAACCTTAAAGATATGTCATTGTCTTAATGCCAATCCCAAGGGTGAATATTATTATTCAGCATGTAGGACGATATTACCTACACATGAAGAGGACATTACGCTGCTGAAGTTATCTACGACATTCCGAACCATTAAACCATATATTAAAGAATCGCAAATCGCAACCGTAATGGGAACTGCCAATTTTCATAAATCTTTATGTAAAAATTATAGGGAGATATAAATAATTAACCGTTTACATTTATAGTGGGAACCGTTATACCGTGAATTTCGGTTCTCATTAACAAGAGATACATTTTATAGAAAAAGCGGGCATATTTGCTTAAGGACTGGTACTAAAATGTTTCAACAGGTTTAGCTAATCTTGATATAACTACCTAGTCAAAATTTAAACACGGAAGTATTTTGTAACTCATTATATGGATTTCCACATCGTGTAAACAATGAGTTTCCTAAACAGGGACAAACAAACTGGATTGTATCAGGCATCATAATTCCGAATGTAAATTTGAGCACACGTACCTCACAAATCGTTTACTGAATACTAAGGATCTTTTAGACCACGTCAGATAAAGATACCAAGACTTGCAGTGGTAATGTATTAATCGGGGACGTTGTGTCTTCGCACATAGTTGAATAAGTTATTGGCCGATAGCATTAAAAAAAAACTCCACCGCGACCACTATAAAACATTGCGAGTCCCGCTACTACTCTCATTTCAAAAACAGTTACCATAAAACCTTAAGTTGCCAATTAACCACAATTTTGGTGCAGCGGGTAAAGTTCCGTCCCAAGTAAGTACAAGCTTTTTTTTAAATTTTTATGTTTTGTCTAAAATTTCCTGCTGTTACTTGGTGAAATTAATATTAATGTTTTATGGGTTTACTAACCAGAATTGATATTTTTGCGTGATTTTGTTGGAAACAACACTTGCAATGAAATAACAACAATTTGAAAATTAATTGTGTTTTCCAATAATCCATTTGACTTATTTGTCCAGATTCATTAATATTGTTCATTAAAAACAATCTTCTATATTGCAAAAATTTACTGATGTAGGTAATAGTACGTTATTCGTTTCTGCTCACGCGTCCGATTGGTTTTCGGAATGATTTAATTAATTCGGTGCATTTTATGTATACTGATTAGGTGCAGGATTTTTTGGAAATGTTATTTGCATCGTCAACTTTTTCGATATTGGATATCGCCCATCTATTTTAGTTATGTACGTACATGGCTTCTCCTTGTTTAAATTCCATTCGATAATTCATTCATCTTGACATTTACATAATTATTAGATATAAACAAAGCAAACGTCAAGTTCAATGACTATACAATGTCGAAGCAGAAGCTGAAGAAGTTTTGATACACTTTGAAATTGTTTTGTCTGTTTTCGAGAAAAGTTTTTTTTAAATTTCATATCCTCAAGTGATATGTGTACCATTTCACCTCGATTAGAATTAAAATTGTGCAATGACCTACAGAAATCGACAAGGTATGGAGGGTGTAGATGCCTTAACGTACGGCGAAGGAAATTGTTGCTAGCTGATGAATACACTACCTCGTGTTTTTAGTTAGAAGTTTCATAGCCAAGCCTTTAAAAATTTGTGATTCACCAAGCGTGCTGCATTGAATAAAAGATTTTAAAAATGTCGGAAGCAGCTATCAATTTTGTTGGTTTAAATGGCAACCCCTATTTTGTACCTATTACATTTTGGATTGTACGCGAATTTATGATTCATGATTGATAATTAGGATATTTTGATGTAAGAAAATGAAATTCAAATAGGTACTAGTTCTGATTTGCTTATAACGCACATGATGCTTATTTAGTAAGATTTTGGTGTTTTATTTTCTAGGGCATCGGATGTTTAATATCTGGATGTATCGAAATATTCTTTTAATAACGATAAGATAGTCAACGAACTCGTTAACCTTAAAAATATAGATACCTAGATGTAAGATGTAAGCTTACAAATAAAATAATTGCGACTATAATGCCAAAGTAACCGATTACTTACATTTGTAATTTTTTATTTTTATTTCGGAATTAGTAATCGAATACATTTTTTGATCCCAGCTCTGCACATGACCACCAAATTTAAGATTCAAGATTCAAAACTCTTTTTGTGTTGTTAATGAGATGGAAACATGTTCATTTCGCATTTTATAAAGGATCAAAATGTCCCTCTTTTACTCTGAATAGTTTGAGAATGATGACACCTACAGATTCTTTTAATACCATAGCTTTTTAATTATGTTGAAATTACAAACCACATTTTTACAGAGTGTGTACTGTAGACATTTCTTACGACGTGATATTTAAACAACAATATCTTAATTTCCAATTATTGATAATATATAATATATAAAGATATTCTACACTATTACTTTGAATGTTGAAATAACGTTAACATTGATTTACTCATTGGCAAAAAGCGTTTTACATATGTCATAATTTTTTCCACAGATTAAGAAACAAAATGCGGTTACTGTTTCTTTTACCCCTGTTGCTTTGGAAAGCTGTCGATGGTAATTATCGCATTATTCTCGTGTTGGTACAACTAATACATTTATTCGTAACACAGCTACCCCAGCGAAAGTAGTTTGCTACTTCAGTAACTGGGCCGTATATCGTCCTGGAGTGGGGAGATACGGAATTGAAGATATTCCAGTCGATCTTTGCACGCACATAATCTATTCATTCATCGGGGTTGACGATAAGAATTGGGGAGTGTTAGTTATAGATCCAGAAGTATGAACCTGAGATGCATTTGTCATTATATTCATAAGTGTTATTTCAGCTGGATGTTGAAAAAAATGGGTTTAAAAACTTTACAGCACTAAAGTCAAAATATCCAGCAGTAACCTTTCTAGTTGCGGTGGGAGGATGGGCGGAAGGTGGTAAGAAATATTCCGAAATGGTCGCGGCTAAACCTAAACGAGATTCATTCATAAATAGTGTAGTGAGTAAGTTATAGGTACGTTTTACATTGTTCAATTTTTCCATAACGTGATGCCACAGATTTCATTGATCAATACAACTTTGATGGTCTCGACCTGGATTGGGAGTATCCCGGAGCTGCCGATCGGGACGGGTCATTTTCGGATAAAAACAATTTCTTTTACTTTGTTGAGGAATTACGAAGAGCATTTGATAGACAGAAAAAGAATTGGCAGCTAACTATGGCGGTACCTGTTGCCAAATTCAGGCTGCAAGAAGGATATCACGTTCCGGAACTGTGCGAGTAAGTAGTCTTCCCTTTCTTCTGGTAAACAATTAGCTAACGTATATACCTACATTCATGAATTGTCCAAAATACGATAATGGCTTTGACATGTGAAACACACAAACAACTGCTTGCTCCATATGAGGGATGGTGGTGAAGAATAGCAGAATCCAATCGCTGTACTTAACATTGTTGATGATGTGTGTCAATTAACATGTGTATAACGTCATAGGTTGCTGGATGCGATACATGCGATGACATACGATTTACGAGGAAATTGGGCAGGATTTGCAGATACCCACAGTGCGCTATATAAGCGTCCTCATGATCAGTGGGCGTACGAAAAACTCAACGTTGTACGTAAGCTAATGGTTTTTAACAGGAGAAAAACTAATTTTGTTATTTAGAACGACGGACTAGAATTATGGGTTAATTATGGATGCTCACCCAAAAAGTTAGTGGTTGGAATTCCGTACTATGGCAGAACATATACTCTTAGTAATAGTAACAATGACTATAGTTTGGGCACATACATCAACAAAGAAGCTGGAGGTGGCGATCCTGGAAAGTACACCAACGCAACCGGATTCTTAGCTTATTATGAGGTATAATTTACTTCACGATTTTTAATGTTTAACATATATTTCAAGATTTGCCCCGAAATTTTGAGTAAAGAATCAGGATGGTCTGCCAAATGGGACGAGTATGGAAAGGTGCCGTACGCTTACAAGGGCAATCAATGGGTCGGTTATGAAAATCCAGAAAGTGTTCAAATTAAAATGGATTTCATTAAAAGTAAAGGATACGCAGGCGCAATGGTTTGGGCAATTGACATGGATGACTTCCACGGATTATGCGGTCCTAAAAACGTGCTCGGTACAATACTATACGCAAATATGAAAAGCTATTCCGTTCCAGAACCAACAGTCTCGACAACACCTCGAGTAAATAATACAAAATGTGTCCTTGTGTGCAATAATTAAATGTATTTCAAATAGCCCGAATGGGATCGCCCACCAAGCACACCATCGGGCGATGAAGCAATGAAGCCAACCGCCCCATCGACGACTAAGAAACCCGATAAATGGACTCAAACTACACCCAAGCCGCCCAAACCCTCAACTGCCCGACCCACCAAAACGACTACCGTTGCACCAGCAGAAGTTCCAACAGACCCTAATGAAAATTCTATAGACTGCGAGGGGAAAGACTTCGTGCCGCATGACGATTGTGATAAGGTAAATTCTGATCGCCTCTTTTACAATAGTTAATAACGTATTTTCAGTTTTACCGTTGTGTTCATGGAAGTTTGATGATACAACATTGTCACGACAATACTGTCTTTAATACCATTACCCATGTATGCGACTGGCCTAACAATTCTGATAGAGATAAGTGTCAAAATCTTAATTAATTCCTTTACTAATGATTGTTATTTAGCATAGATTTAGAGATTGAATGTACAAAGTAAAATAAAATATTAATTATCAGTCATGCAGAAATAACGTTTTGATAGAAGGTATCCAAATCTTGTCCACCGAGAACTTAGGTACTATACCTACCTACTTATATCACGCCCACCATCTTAAAAATACTATACAACCTAATTTTATATTCAAAGTATACACTAAGTCTATCAAAGATGTGTAATTATGTGCAAACGCTAAGTTATCTTATTACCTTGACGATACTAGATATAGTGTTGTCTACCTCAGAAATATTTAACTTAACTTAACCCAAATTAATAAGAAAAGGTGTTTTCCCGAGAATTTTTAATGCAGTCGATTTTTGGTAAAAAAGGAAGGTTAATCACCGCCTTTTTTTGAGCCCCAAAGAAAAAATTGTCTCACACCGACCCGGAAAAAAATTTTATTATAGAATGTGGCCTGTAGAATCCATAATTTCAAACAGTTCCAAGATTGGGTTACTAGTTCAAAAGTTACAGCCCTTTGAATTTTTTTCTAGTCTATAACTTTTGATTGAGAAGTCTGATCGAAAAAGAACGAATTGTTTTCGATTCTACGCTCCAAAATTAATAAGAAAAAGTGTTTTCCCGAGAAATTTTGGTGCAGTCGATTTTTGGTAAAAAAGGAAGGTTACAACCTACACTGCCTTTTTTTGAGGCCCTCAAATAAAATTGTCTCAGATCGATCCGGAAAAAAAATTTTCTTATAGAATGTGGCCTGTAGAATCCATAATTTCAAACAGTTCCAAGATTTGGGCTACTAGTTCAAAAGTTACAGCCCTTTGAATTTTCTTTCGAAATTGGTTTCTAGTCTATAACTTTTGATTTGAGAAGTCTGATCGAAAAAGTACGAATTGTTTTGGATTCTACGCACCAAAATTAATAAGAAAAAGTGTTTTCCCGAGAAATTTTGGTGTAGTCGATTTTTCGTAAAAAAGGAAGGTTATACACTGCAGAAGTAGGCAGCTGTCAGGAGGAATGGGGTCGTTGGAAGTCCTGGACAAGTAGACAAGATTCCCGAAGTCCAGAAATGGCCCAAGAGAAAGCACGGATAGGTACACTAACATCTAACATAATGCTTAAAAGGACACGGGGAAAACGCAGAGTATAGCTAGTAAAATGGCAGTTAAAAATGTACGGACAAGATCTGTACAGCAATTGTACTTAAATGACCAGATTTTTGAAAAATTATTTGAAATATAATGGCTGCAAGTGCGGCATCTCCTTGGTAATCGATACACTTTTTTCACGTTATAGTATTTTAAGTTTAGTTGAGATGTCGCCACGTCCGTAACTTCATTTGAAATTGCTTTTGAATTTATGCGATTAATAGCCGCCTTGGACTTAGTTTTCCTTAAATGGCACTTCAAGATGGACGGAGTCTTGCAAAATCTGTAGAGCAATTGTAGTTCAATGCCCCGGTTTTCGATTAATTAGTTTAAATATAATATCATTGATAAATTCAATGATGATATGGCCAAGTGCGCATCTCCTTGGTAATCGATACACTTTTTTCACGTTATAGTATTTTAAGTTTAGTTGAGATGTCGCCACGTACGTAACTTCATTTGAAATTGCTTTTGAATTTATGCGATTAATAGCCGCCTTGGACTTAGTTTTCCTTAAATGGCACTTCCAGATGGACGGAGTCTTGCAAAATCTGTAGAGCAATTGTAGTTCAATGCCCCGTTAGTTTAAATCGTGGTTTAAATATAATATCATTGATAAATTCAATGATGATATGGCCAAGTGCGCTATCTCCTTGGTAATCGATACACCTTTTTCACGTTATAGTATTTTAAGTTTAGTTGAGATGTCGCTACGTATGTAACTTCATTTGAAATTGCTTTTGAATGTATGCGATTAATAGCCGCCTTGGACTTAGTTTTCCTTAAATGGCACTTCAAGATGGACGGAGTCTTGCAAAATCTGTAGAACAATTGTAGTTCAATGGTCCGGTTTTTGATTAATTAGTTTAAATATAATATGTAAAAGTGGGCCATCTCCTTGGTAATCAATACACTTTTTTCAAGTTATAGTTTTTACAGTTTAGTTGAGATATTTTTTGAGAAGTCTGATCGAAAAAGTACGAATTGTTTTGGATTCTACGCATCAAAATTAATAAGAAAAAGTTATTCCCGAGAAATTTTGGTGCAGTCGATTTTTGGTAAAAAAGGAAAGTTAAGTATTCAAATACTATGCGAAGTATTCGAATACTTCTCAAAGTATTCAAATACCTTGCGAAGTATTCGATTACTAAATATTTGTGAAAGTATTTGAGTTACAAATACAAATACTGCTTCCATAAAAATATTTAATTACAAAGTATTTGAATACTTTAAAGGATTTGAAAACTAAAAAGTTTTTACAAAATCGAATACTGCCCAGCTCTGGCCTTGAATGACAGGCTCTGTAAAACCTTAAATGGTATTTGCAGTTGCAGTATCCCCTGTTAAATACCCAGGCTGAACACAAAGCTAGGTAAATATGGGAATTCATGTCAGACTGTCCCATCCACGATACAGGACCATCTCGCCGTTTGGCGCGATTTTGTGCAGGCTGTTTATTATAATCGTGCACTTTCTCATAGGCACATTTTCTCTCTGGTGTAAATTAAACAAGTACATGTACTGTACGAACTGTTAATTCAATTCTTTATCTGGGTAGTCAACTGCTTAACTATAATTGAAATAAGCTTAAGGAATTATAAGTGCTTCAATTGGATATCAATTATGAATGGAATTCGCTAATACAGTAAAAAATTGGGCTTGTAAGTACACAATTTAAAATGAATTATTTTTTAATTCAATTCCATTTTCATATAATTGGTCAAGTTTAGCAGGACAATTTTGCAATGTGGTTTAATTTTACTTTGGAAACCACTCAACCACATCAATCTAATTAAACCATTTCTCAATTAAGGAAAATTTTATTAAAAACACACACTTTCTGATATTAGAAAATCTAGGTACTGTTCGTTTGCTTCTTGTGATGAATGGGATGTCATTCTGATTACTGAATATCTATTAACTTATTGAGAACTTCTAGAATGTTTCGTTATTGTTTACAAGCACTGGAATAGACGCCTTTGACACTTGACAGAGGTGCTTGACAGTTTGACCTTGACAGTTACAATAAAAGTGTTTGAGAGGGGGTGAAACAGGTGTTAAAACCTTACGTGGTGTTAATTGATAATGAATTAATAAAAAAGTTCACAATATGTGAAAGTTGTCACGTATCTATTCCATAAGGAAAAAACAGTGTAAACAAATTATAAAATGTTGATTGAACGTGCGTTGCCCACCTCCCTATGTTTGTTTACTTTACTTGTTGGTTGTTGTGGATATTTTGACTCTCATGGCCAGGAAGACGAACATTGTTTTTGTAAAGTAAGATTATATTATTATAATAAAAAAATTACGTAATTTTTTAATATTTTCTTTACAGTTACAGGATCGTATTATAGACGATTGTTCATGTAATGTTGATACTGTAGATCATTTTAATAATGTAAAAGTATATCCACGGTTGCGCAGCATGCTTACAAAAAATTATTTTAGATTTTATAGAGTAAATTTGAAACGAGAATGCCCTTTTTGGGTAGACGATAGTAAATGTGCAATAAAATATTGTCACGTCGAGGCTTGTCATGAAAGTGATATTCCGCCCGGATTGAAAGGAGCTTCGAAATCAAAGACCTGCTCAGCGAAAAAGGTGGGAACGTTGGTGTGTCGAGGTATTTGTAATCGGTTCTTTGTAGTATCTGCAACCTAAAGGTTGCGATGACGATCACAATGACGAATTAGGCTACCTTAATACGACGATTAGTGCTAAAGCCGAGGAAGATTTCGTCTTGTGGCAAGCTCACGATGATGCCCAGGATAAATTTTGTGACATCAATGAGAATGATAATGATGCTGAATATGTTGATCTGCTTCTCAATCCTGAGCGATACACTGGCTATAAGGGAAAGTCGGCACATCGCATATGGAACAGTATTTATATGGAGAATTGTTTTAGGTAAGAATGATATACCACTGTGTAATGAGAGAGGTATACCCTCCCTAACTGATCTGACTTTTTGTCTCCAAAGATCGCTCTTTACTGTTGGTAGTTTATATGAATTTATAATTACATGAAAATAATTCAATTACTTAACTGTTAATCACCCATGATTCCGCTACTATAATTTATAAATGTACATGTAGTTGGCGGTTCCTGTATTAATATTGTCAGAAAATTAAATTGTTCAAAATTTATATTTTATACGTTTTTTTTGTTACTTTTTTGAATTAGATAGCATTTCCTGTACAGTAAACTCCAACTACCTTGTCGTCTGCTTTAAAAGCAGTTCTTACACGTCATTATAGTAACCCTAAATTGATTTTTGTCAACTTTTAGACCAGATAACACCTACAATGCATACATCGAAAGTGAATTGCTGAAAGGAATGTGTTTGGAGAAAAGGGTGTTTTATCGTGCAATATCGGGACTACATGCGAGTATTAATATTCACCTCTGCGCGAATTTCCTAAAACTAGAATCCGGCGGAATAAGTCAGTATTGCGTTAAATTTTATTTCTCTCCATTATGAAATTGCACTTGAAGGTTTAGCCTCGCCCAAAGGAGAATGGGGACCGAACGTAGATGAGTTTAACCGGCGATTTTCCTCCAGTAAAACGAAAGGCGAAGGTGCAAATTGGCTGGCTAATTTATACTTCTTATATCTGCTCGAATTGCGTGCGTTGGCGAAGGCTGCCGAGTACTTACGTAAGGAACCATTTTATACGGGCGACGAGGCGCAGGACTGGGACACTCAGTTGGCGGTTCAGGACTTACTAAATGTCATAACCAAATTTCCGGATCACTTCAACGAGTCCATTATGTTTAGTGGCGGTCAAGAGATGAAGAAATTAAAGAAGGAATTCAAGGAGCACTTTCGCAATATCACACGTATTATGGATTGTGTGGGGTGCGATAAGTGCAAACTGTGGGGGAAGCTGCAGGTAATTCAAGTTTGTCTATTTATTTGTGTTTTTATTGGGTTGTAGATTCAAGGATTGGGTACTGCCTTAAAAATATTATTCGATCATGATACTTCCTGGCCTAAAGCAATATCACAGAAAAGGGTGTTCAATTTGGAACGTAGTGAAATTGTTTCGCTCATTAACAGTGTGGGACGGTGAGTGACGTATTATTAATACCATTTTATAGTAGTTGCTTTCAGGTTGTCCACCAGTATTTATGAGCTTGACGAGTTTCGGCAATTGAGTAGGTGATGTTTAGCGTAATCTTTGTATTTGTTTTCCTTTAGTCCACAAGGTACTATTTAGTTAATGATTAGTGGTTGCTTGTTTACTTGTTAGAACTAGCATTTTTTCTATAATTACTATCAATTTTCTGTAAAGAGCGCTTCTACACTTACGGGTTAACTTTGTTATGGCTAAGGCTAGAAATGGTGTAGAAACTACAATTCCTAGACAATATGTTGCAATTGCGCTTTCCTTGGAAATATTGAATCTTTTGTACTACCCAATAATTTTCTTTTCTCTAGAGCTTAAGTATACCCAAGAAAAGACTTTGCCATAAGACTGCTTTACAAGTACACTTAAGTGGAATTTACTATTTATTTCTAAAATATTTACTATTCGCAAAAGCCAAAGTTTAAGACAAAGTCTTATAGTTTATTTATTTATTTAACGCTTTCAATTCAGTAAAAATACTCTTAAGCCCCACTTAAAAGCCACGTCAGGGTTTCTATTTTTCAATAAGTCCCTCTCGGTATAAAGTCTGTCCTATATATATTAAATAATAAATTATTAAATAAGGTTATTTATAAATCTGTTAATTTTGTTAGACAATTTACTATTCTATTTCACAAAGGGAGAGAATGAAATTGTGATCAGTATGAACTCTAAATGTGATTGTATTGTAAAAGACTCGGTACTTAAGTGAAGAGAAATAGGTTTTCTCTTTAGTGACATTTTTTATTCTACGCTACTGTAAAGCTGGGAAATTGTTTGTCTAACGATGTAAAGCAATTGTGATTTTGTAGTAAATTAATTAAATTCTTAATGCTGGTGATGTTAATCTTTATTGTGATTAAGTATACTGCTTTGATATTATTTGTTAATAGTATAGAATTTTTTCATTCCCATTTGCGTTTAATGTTCTGTATCATATGGAGTTTGAACGTTTTACTGACTTATTTTTAAGTTAATTCTTTTGGTGTGGCCCCTGTAAATATTATTTAAGTAGTATTTACCACTTGCTGGGATTCTACATATTTATAGTCTTGTCTGGTCGACAGGTGTCTTTAATGTACAAATAAGTTAATAATTTATATTTTTACTACTTCTATTGACAATTACTACAAATTATAATTTATTTCGTGTAAAAGACATTATTTACAAATACAAATAAAACCCTATGATTGTTTCCTAGCTTATTATCACCACAAACTGCATGATTCTTTGTCTTTGGTGCACATTGAACAAAACATTCGTTATACTTGAGCATTTCTTTCAATCTTTGATAGTAACTTTGTTATCTACCCATTGCGTGCATGAACCAAACGTTTACGCTTTGATTACATTGCTCAATATTCAAATTTGGCATAGTAGTCGCCAATTTCACAAAAAAAAAACCGCATTCATTTTGGATAAAATAAGCAGTCTGGCAGGCATCACCACTATTCATATTATTATATATTTATTGGTGGTGGTGATGCATGTTATTCCACACCAAAGTAAGATAGAAAAAATATAGCTATTACATTGTTAAATTAAACTTGCAAAAATTGTCAATACTGTAGAATGCGTTGCTGATCAATATACTTTCCACCGTAGCAGTGGTGATGACTGTTGTATCGTCTGCGAAGAGAGTCAAGTGTTGGCATGAAGTAATATCGTAGACAAGTCGTTAATGAAGATTAGAAATAGTTTTGGGCCCATTACTAACCCTTGAGGAACGCCCGATCTGTTGGTTGCTTGTTTATGAGATTTATAACCTATGCTGACATACTTTGTGTACGTCCTGTGAGGTAAGTTTGTAATACAGCTATGCTCACTGAAATGTGTCGAGTGCGTCCGCTGACAAGCTGGATGGAGGGTTCTCTTGTTTTACAGGTTTACTACGTTTTATACCATCCCAAACGGCCTTTTGTGTGTTAGATGCTCCACCAATGTAAACATTGTTTGCCCTCTTTTTGAAGGTGTTAATGTCAGCTTGATACTCAAAAATAAAGGCAAAATAAATAAATACTGCTTCCTGAATGTCTTGAGTGTATGTTTACTAACATAACAACCCTACAGTCCTTTTTTACTGATGTTAAGCAATGCAGAAGATTGTAGGATTACTAGCCACCAGCTTGGATTTATAAACAAAAGAAGAATCACATTCAGTAGTAATATTCCATTCCGTAAATGAACTAAATTTTTCGTTGCTTCCTGCTGTTTTATTGCTATCGATGATTGTTCTATAATTAACACAGATTGAAATGAAAGGCACAGAAAATTATAATCACATTAAAACAAAAGATTAAAGGAATTCTTCGAGGAAATGTTAACAATAACTATAGAAGGAAACCAACATGTAGAAAGTGATAACAAGGAAATGACTGGGTATCTCTATGCCTATGTATAAAAAAGGAGATAAAAGGGATTGCACAAACCACAGGGAAATTACGATGACATTAGAAAGGATAATAGTGAAACGATATTTATTGCCTTCATTAATTTAGAAACGGCTTTCAATAGTATACAAAGAAGTTTAGTGTGGAGCATCCCAAAAAGAATAAGAATTTGTAATAAATTAAGAAACTGTTGACAGGGGAGCATAATTACTGTGCCCACCTAGCCCCACCCTTTTATATGTGACTGTACCGAGAAAAAGTAAAAGTACGACTTAGCTAGTCAGCACGACATTCACTCATACTAAAGCTTCGACCCAGTACAAGTCATGCAATTTTGTTGATATGCGATGCTCATTTGATAAGAAGGCGAAACTTAAAAGAACAGTATTGTAAAGTAAGTCTTGAACAGGCATCGCTAGAGCTAAGGACAAGAAAAGTACAATCTGTATCCCTGGATGGAAATTTCATAAGAAAAGCAAGTCGGTAGGTATTTAGTGAATCACATTAAACAAGCATCACTTTCTCTAGAAGTTTATTACAAAATTTTTAAACATCACAAATGGTTGTACGTAAACCATAACGGCCAAGTACAGACAAGTGGTACACATTTTCTTCATTAACCCGCAGCACTTGTAAAAGTAGAAAACTTCTTAATACGGTCTTCTAATCACATGAGAATTTATTCCGCAAATTTGCCGAAACCAATGAATCAACAGTAATAAAAAACTATCATCGAGCGATCTTATTGCTAATGCTTCACTCCTCCTATTGCCACATACATGCGATACATCAACATGTAAAATAGGGTCTGCAGGACCCAGTGGTTGATTGTGTGACATTCTATGGGAGATGTATTTGTAAACAAACTCATAGAACATTGTTAATTGACAAAGGAAGTCCCACTTGATGTTAGACGATTCTCTCAGATCAGCAGTAACAAGTCTCGATGTTAAAAATAGTTGCAAAGCTATCACTGTGCCTAGCGTATTTAAGGAATCTGTTAGTTTTTCTGGATTCACATAGACTAACCATCTGTCATCCAATACTAGAGACTGAGGTAAGGCATCACCAAATAATCCAGATAATGTATTTGAGGCGTCCTTGTGTGGGTATATTACAATATTACAATCAGACGGAAGTGTTTCGAAAGTTTCCTTTACCTTTCCAACTGCATCTTTCATTACAGATATCTGCAAAAAAGAACCTTATGTCAAATATCTACACACATAACCAAATTGCTGTGTAAAAAATAATAGCGAGACCATTGATCTGAGACATGAGGTAGAGCATTTAATTTATTGTGTCACTACCACTATCAAAATAAAAAAGATAGTAATTATAAGCCCGTCCCATTTACTATTTTTTACATTGTCCTTAAGTAAATAAATTACATTCGGGTTATTAATTAGTAACTTACTTCAGTCAATACTCGACAGATAAAGTGTAATATGCAAAATAACGAATTATATGTCAATTGATTTTGAGGAACAATCCATGGGGGAGGAGCTCGATCATCGTAATCAACAAAGGATTCGCAACTAAATTGGTATACACCAAGGAACTCTGTAAGTGGAGGATTCCATCTAATTAGACACATGCACAGCCAGTATACAATGTCAATGTACCTGGAACATATATTGATGCAGTACACATATTATACAAAATGAACATGTATACCTGTTGGTTATTGTAATTAAACAATTATTAGACAGAGGGCCAAAGTTAACAGTATTACTCCTTTTTGACGCAACTAAAATACTTGGATGGAGCAGCACGTTGCAACATGCGTTCAACAATTCTGTAATAGACATCTGAAAAAAAATTAAGAAAGTCGCCTTAAAAAGCATTCCACATTACCGTAATGCGGTGAAACCATTTCACGTTCTTCTTTTTCTGATTTCTCAAATACTTGTATACTTCACACATGAACCGTAAAGTGCTCGACACCAGTTTCAAATTTACCTCATTTGCTATTAGGGTGGCACTTGCGATTGCGTCGTATATATTGGCCTCATGTGAGTGGACAAACAACAGCATGTCTTTAAAAATGAGAAGGCCTCGTTCTTTTAACAAAATTGTATTCAGATGCATGACATACGTATAAAAAATCCAATTATTCATAATGTTTTGCGGCACAATTCCCTAAAAATGGTTAGTACAGTTCGGAAAACTAGTCTCATATAATATTTACTGTGAACAGCATAGAGGGTTGTTAAGTAAAAAATTGAAAACTAACAGAATACATTTTCGCATGCAGATCCCTGGAGAAGTGTCCCTCCATTCCTATGCACTTCGTATTTCCCTATCACAAGGTTGATCCTGCACATACAAATTTTGTGTAGGTGTGTTTTCACTAAATGATACAATGATAGTAGTAAACCTGGTTTCAGTCGACCAGAGACTGGGTGCTTTAATCATTTGGGGGTGAAGGCCAAGAATTGCAGTTGGAATTTTACTATCCAGTTTTCGAAAACCAATTTGGATTTGATATTTTCATATTTAAAAGCGCTCCAATCCAGATACATGCCGAACTCCGAATCAAAACATTTATTTTGCGCATGCGCAATTCGAGTTTTTTAATTGTTATATTTAAATGAAATTTTGTCCTCGAATAAAAGTAGTGTTCGCATATTCAAATAATGTCTTTATCCAAGGACAACACCCGCCAGGGCGCGGGCCCCGTGCAAAAACTCGACGTTGGTATCTATTGAACCTAATGTACGTTCGCTTCTGAAGAGGTCTGTAATGAGAGAGATTGGCTTCCAGGCAGGAGGTCCAAGTCAGAGGTCGGATTACTATTTTATTCTATACATTATGGTTGTGCTTAAAACTTATGGAAAAAATTTGTACCACAGTTTTAAGAAAATGTCTTGCATAACTTCTAGACAAATTTCAATTTTTAGCTAAGATAAGAGAGACCCCATAATGGAATGTATTCTGTTTGTTTTAAATATTAACCTTGTTTTAATTGTGCCATAGAAACGGTTTGCTAAACTTGATAATTTACCTTTGTCGATTTGGCCTCATCCAGCTTGCACATGTTACGTTGCTGTAAACTATTTTGCATATTCTTCAACTGATTATCGAAGCTTTCGATTAACTGCGACTTTGCCAAACGAATTAAGGACGCCATTATAACTTCGGCGACTCTTATGGGCATAAAATCTTGAGTGTACAGACGTACAGTGACAGTTAATCGCTCGATATATGCCGTATTGTTAAAAAACAAAGTAAATGCGTTGAAATTAATCCTTAGAAATGTATTGACGACGTTAAGAATAATGACCCAGTTGTAATAAAAGGATTCTTCCTTTTTGGTTTCCACCATTGCTAAATAGGCGTATTCAGCTTCAAAGATGTTGGCAAACGGCATTAAAAAGGATTTGGCGTATGTGGCGTTGCTTGATAGCAGCTGTTCAGAATTACTTAGAGTGATCGCAGCTATAGTCAAAATTGCTGTTTTGCTTCCAGAATCGCACTTACTATAACTACTCGCGAAATTCGATAGCAATTTAGAGGTAACTTCCAAAGATGTTGCGATTTCTTCCACAGTTTGGTTTGTTTGTTTATAAAGTATGAGATATAGTTCTGCCCATAGCGCTATTAATTTTGCGTCATTTAAATTCTTTACACAATACACTAAATTGTCTAGACATTTTCGTTGTGTTTGATAATTTGTCCAATTAGAATCGTATGTAGGAAGGAAATGTCGAAAGACAATAATAAATTTTTTTAGAACTGTTAACATTACATTAGCGAGGGACAATCCGTGACTTTTGGTAGGTGTCACATAGTCGCCTTTTATGATGTCAATTATTCGTTGTATCCATAATTGAGTGAAATTTTTGTTTGTTGCAAATGTGAGATCGAGAGCAGCTTTAAACTTCTCACTCACTTGTCCTTTTTTCAGGTTGAGCTCCATGGTGAGTATCTCGAACGTTAAAAGGCTGATGTATATCGAATCTTTTAGTTCAGCTAAAGGTAACGTAAGCACACTCCAAAAGTTTTCATGACTGGTCACTTTTTTTAAAATAAATTGTTTGTTTAACTTCCATAACATATGCAAAAATTCTAAGATCTCCATCTGCAGAGAATTTATCTCTGGGACTTCATTCTAAACAAAAAATACGTTATAAGAACAATATTTTCAGAAGCTATTACAAGTGGTAAAGACTAGGTCAAACTCACCTGTTCCACATTCTTCAAGTAATCTATCATACACATAACCATATCTTTCTCTTTGTCGTCTGGAGCGACCTCGGATTTCTCCGGACATATATTTAAAAAAGCCACAATCATGCCGGGCTGATCGGGAACACAAGCCGAGATGTAATGAATAATAGAAATTTTAATGGGGTCCCTTAAAAGTTGATCGCAGAAACATTGCACGATCCACTGCCTCACTTCGCTGTTACCACATTTTAAAGCCGGCAACAATGGCTTTTTCAAGGCCTATACAAGAAATGAGCTGTATATTAATAAGGGATTGTAATGAACTCACCAGAGAAATATTGCCTAAAATTTCAAAAGCAATTTGAGGTATCTCTTCGTCGTAGGAATGGGAAATATATCCTTGTATCGTTATTATAAAATTTTTATCGAAACACGATTTCATGAGGTGTGCTCTAAAAGGGGTCCAATCTTCGTAGTGACTGTTTAAAGTGACGTAATTCGAAATTAACATGTAACATTTTAAGGCACGTTTTACAGATTGGACGATTTTCAAGGATGGTCCACTAACGAAATTAGTTTCTCCACATAATATGATTTCTAGCCGCGTGTTACCAATTGAGCAAATGTTAAACAAAATAGAAGTAAACATCTCTTTTTTTAAGAATAATTCGATAACACAAGTGTAGATGATGTGGTCGTTTGCATTTGTGATTACACGACGTACGAGGATAAAGTGAATTAATTTTATAAGCTTGCAACACACTCTTCGAGATGCTGCATTAGAAGAAGTCAAGTGTGTAGCAAAAATAGGCAACACCTTTACAATCAAGAATATTAATGCTGGAAGGATTACGTGCATTTTATTTATGTTGTCCTACAAAAAATCAAAATACTAGTAAGTTACAATGGTACGCCATTTACCTGGAAGCATTTTAGCGCCAACTTGATGTACAACTCGATCAGACGACACGAATACGGAGAGTACACATCGGTGCAGATTTCTGTAGTTAAACAGCTAGCAGATAAGTTGTTAAGGTCCGCAAAATCTTTACTATTACAAATATCTCGCATTAGGGTGGGTAACATTTTCACATTTAGTAAAGGTGTAAGCATGTCCATCGGTTTGTGGTCTAACTCGCAAATTATAAGTTCAAAGCAAAGAGTCAGTAATTTACGATTCACAACTCTCATCTTTGGAAAAGTGCAAAATAAACAGTACAGTAAACGCGATAACTCTTTCGCGTCATTATTTGCACTAATTAATGTATGATCAACTCTCATAATTTCTCTGAGCACCTTACATCCGGCAATGGTAGCTTCCTCGATCATCGGTGAACAATTACCAATTTCGTCGAACACAGTATTAACGATATGCACAAGAACGCTAAAGTAACTATAAGTCCCATGATAACTGATAACATTATCTTCGAATAATTTCGATATTGTCACTTTTGTACCAACAGGGAAAATGATCAGATCATTTTTTAGAGGACGGTATGGCAAAGTTAGAGATATTTGCACATCTTCTCTCTCCTGTTGTCCAGTTCCTTTATGCTCATAGTGTTCTGTATATAATTGTAAATCGTTCAATGCCAAAACAACCTGCAAACAAAATTATTTTACAAATACGCACAAACTGGAAAATAAATTATGCGCTATTTCTCATTTTAATAAAAGGTCCGCAAAAAATAAGCAAAGAAAAAGATTAATATCAACATTGCAAGTATTAGATACATTGAATATAGGGAGGGATGAATCTCCACATAGCCAGTTAAAATCCTTTTAACGCATTGCATAAGACATAATTACTTGAAAAATATTGGCCAAAAGTATTGGCACTTGACTGTCCTGCATTTAGCGACTTAGCTGACCCACTCTATAATCCGGCAGTGCCGGTTGAGCATATTTAAAAAAATTGCATTCACGTTCAGACCTGCCCCGACCTTGACAGCGAAACCACACGCCTTACTTTCGTTGGCGCCTGCGTGCTAGTGGTGCTAGCTTAGACAAGATCTTTTACTGTAGGAATCTATGATAGAATTTATTTAGGATATAAAAAAAGCTCAAGTTGGCTCAAAACATTTTTCCAAATGAACCAAGGTACAGAATGATATGTTTTGAATGCCCTCAATAGTTCCAAAGTTTGTGTTTCTTCGACAATTACATTACCCACCTCTTTTGCATTAACCCTTAAATGGATCAAAGAATGTACGAGTGTCGACAGTGAGCTAAACAAATATGGAAAGCAGTACAAGGAACTGCTATAAAAACTTTTCGTCCCTTCATCACTTCCTTGTTGCCATATAGCAGCAATCTCGGCAGTTTCAAGTAATTTTCCAAGTAACGCGAGTGCTACTGGGTGTACAAAAAATTTGTTCGCCCCCAGTTTGATACATAACACCTCCAACACTGTAAAAACAGACGCCTTCACCATTATACCAGTAGTTGTATCCTAAAGCAGTACGCTATGAGAAATAGTTTAAATATTGTGACTCACCATAAATAAATCATTCGAAACTAACTTCTCCAAATGAGCAAATACATCAAACTGCAACGCTAAGCCTAAATGATGTTGCAAACCGTCAGCATGAACTAATGCAGTATTGGAGTTTACACTTAAGTGCAAAGTCACCCACACTAAAGGAATAATAGGAGAACGCCAGTTTTTGTACAAGTGATCCATATAGCCCTCAATTTCATTATAATGACCATACCACGTATTGTAATGGTCCCTAAAAATTGAAATGAGCCAAAATCACTACTCTCTTGGTACTCACCATAGATTATACAAACTTGAAAGAAAAATAGCAATCTGAACATCTTGAATTGCCCTTAAGTTGCCTAGTTCCACAGAGTCGGTGTTGATCTTATGCCAATCCCGACAGTTATTTTGCGTAAAAAGTTTTATCAAGTACAAAAACTGGGGAAAGTCACATTTTTCGTAAACAAATGTAGACAACACGGAGGAAAGTATTTGTAACTGTTCTCTATAATTTCTTTCAAAATTACAACGATCCCCATTCATCTCCTTCAACAAAGCTTCGTACTGTTTAAATAGATCTTTTTGGATTTCTTTAAAAGTGTGCTCATTGATAAATGATCTATACAGTTCATAGAACGGGTGCTTCTCATTCTGATAGTTTTCAATAATCCAACCAAGTAAATTTAACATAAACATTCGTTCCAGTGTATAAAATTCCCACATCCTCGCTTCCAAATTCTCTTGCCGTAAGGAATACTGTATAACATTATCACAATTTTCTACTTGAACGTAACATTCGAATTTTAAATAATTGCACAGCATCGCGAAACACGTAAATGTATCCAAATCCTAAACAAAGTTGTAAAAAAGGCAAAACCAAAATATCGCTTACTAAGAATTCGCTAATTTTCCTCATAAGTGTCTTAAAAGTCACATCGTTAACGTAAGAAAGTCGTTCCCAGCATGATGTATAGCCCGTTTCAGTGAATGGTTTATACATATTAATCCCATTGAACAAGTAAGTTTTAACAACATCGAGAGCCGAGGACGCACCACTGGAGGCAATGTGATTTCGTTTGCCATTCACTGTAACCCACACACGTTTCCAATGCCTGAAAAATGGATTAAAATCTTCGATTTGTTTGGGATAACGCTTACGGAGTAATATCCATTATTATAAGTTCTTAAAAATGTATACTTTACACATTAGCAATAGAATTTATTTAAAATAAAAAGTAAGGTTAAGTGGCGGTTACTACACATAGGCGTACGAAAACATATACCACTGGGTACTTTTACAGTGGCGTATCTTATTGTGAGAATTGGCCTAGAATGAGCGTTTTTTTTATTGATTAAAACTTAAATTTAAACAAAATACAAGATACCTACCAAGTAACAGAAAAGTGTGATAGAATGTATATGTACCGTCTATGGGGATCACGCTCAATGCATAGCGATACCGCGACGGATTATCAAATATCTATTTGACATCCCGATACGGCAGTAGAACTGCTTTAGATATAGCTCGGTCTCAGCTTAAAATTATTTTTTTGCCGGTAGATATTTAAATAATCGTCAAAGCAGACTCTTCGAAATCATTATATTTTGAGCGATGGGGCTTGGTGTTGAACCAAGAGTATTAAAAGTGCAAAGAATAATTTCATAGATATATACTTATTTTTTTGTAGTACATCATGTGAACTATTCTAATTAAATTTCTATAACATTATGTATGTTGAACATTTCAAATCTAATAAAAACAGGTACATAAAATGGTAATCACAAAGTAAGTGGAACAAAGTTTACAATATATAAACGAGTACAAAATAACATTTTTTCGAAATAGTAACACACAGGTATTCAAACTGACACATCCATCTTAAGCAATTTGATACGTAATACCAGTGGCGGTTGGTCAACAAATGCCGCAGTGCTCCCAAAAATTAATAATTATGAACGTGTTTCAACACTAAAGGAAATCAGAACGTTTCTCAGAAATTCACTGACCGAAGATAGTTTAAGAGCTCTTTCACTATAAAATGTGTGAAATTTTTTACATCTTTACCAGGAGCCCGCCACTGCGTAATACATGAAATACTGAAATTTGACTAATGTAAATGTTGACACATTTAAACCATTCAGTAGAGATCCCACATGTTAGAATTTTATGCGAGACTTTAAGTATACAAATTATTTCTTTCACAGTTTCCAAAAATTCAAAGATATCTGTGCATGTATTATAATATACAATACCAAAATGACAGATATACACAGTTACTGCAAAAAATGGAATACTATAATATTAAGCATAGTTCTGTAACCGATATTTGTGGATATATGTTATGTAACTGAAACAAGGAAACGGCTGACTGGTGTAACATCAACAGTTTATACCTATACATATGTAAAAAATGAACAGAATATCATTTTTGGCACATCCCTTTGGAACCAAAAGGTATAATTCATACATTAAAATCTTGATCATAAAATATTAACAAGTTTAAATAAATCTAAAAGAAATATATTGAATATTTTTGGAGCAAAACATTTGAAAATATATTATTCCGCTCAACAACTGAAATAAACAGAATCATAACCGAACTTCAAAAAACATACTATTCAGATTCTTCACTACTGGAAATTTCCTGCATAGCCATAAACCAACCGTTACGACCAGGATTAGGAGTCACAGCCCTGCAACATACGTTCAGCTGCGCATCTGCCTAAGCATGATGTAATAACTTACCTGGGCTTTCGAATTTGAGTAGGCAGTGTAAGAGAAGTACGATAATACGGAACTTCTTCGCTGGTTTCGGGCCTCCTTTGTAATGTCATCGTTTCATTAAACACATCCTGTTCCTCCTCCATGTGCGTTACTTCAGCAGATTTACAGTTCTCGCATTCACTCCTGCATATTTAAGCAAATTTTAGAATTCACAACATTTTAGGAACTTTGCAGTATAATTATAACTTTGGTAATAACTCAATTAGCTATTCCTAAAGCAGCATCCAGAGCCGAATTTTTTCTAGATCAATGGGTCAATACGTTTAAGTTATAGCACTTCTTCCTAAAACCTACTTAGATTTAAAAACTTTAGATATAGTAACAATGGTAACCAAAATATTTTTAGTCAAAAGATGTCAAAATGGTTATTTATGCATCAATTTTTTTGGAAAAAAGAGGCCTAACTCGATGGCTTGAAGCCCAAGAAGTCATTCATATGTATTTTTGGTGATCCAACATATTTTTGGCCAAAAAATGCCAAAAGCGCAGACTACTTTAACCAAGCATGATATATCTGGAGTGTTTAAATCTGTGGTAACTGCACAGTGCTGAGGTTACAAAAAAATAAAAGTGGGGTGCCAACTCAACATACCCTAATTAAAACTCATTATAGCAGCTTGTCATTTTACATACTTACAGTACTAAAATTACCTGTAATCATCTTCATCTTGAGAAGGTGACAAGGACCTATACGAAAATAAACTATGATGTTCCGTGCCAACTTTTGATTTCTCCTCGACCTTATTTTCTAAATTGCCTGATGAGAATGTGGCCGAATGCAGCCCATCTTTATGTACCTTTTCGGTTAAATTAATGTGAGATTTAATTAAATTCAACGATAAGATAGCATCACAATTGCTCTGCTTCGAAATAAATCTGTGCGAACAGTTATCGGTTTCGGCCTTTTTCGTTAAATTATTAGTTAGGCCATCACTGTTCGAGCTGACCGATACGGTCAGCTCTTTTAGATTTTTTGGCAAAGTGCGGTGCGAAGATAAATCTTTGTACTCTTTGGAAGTTGCGGCTAGTAAAAATAGATTATCTTTACTTCTACTTTCTTTAATCGTGTGCATGTGCTTGTTGTGGGACTCAGATGAAATAGGTATTGTCCTATGTCTGGTGTTGTCATGGCGATTAATGTTAACATATAATGCTTCGTTATTGTTACTACTACTTTCATTCGGAAGTCTATTCACCATGACACCAGTACGTGTATCTTTGGCGATGGAATTTCTCACTAAGAAGTTTTCGTACTTAAGAAACATCAATTTATTTTCATCCAACTTCGATCCTTCGGCATCATTTTTTTGGGTGGAGGATTTTCTTTCATCATTCACACGGGTCTGCTTATCACTTTTTCTGGCAGCTACAATGTTTTCATAAGACTTTGATTTTTCTACCGAATCACAATTTTTGGAGGTTTTTTCTGTTGTAATGCCCTCATTTTGATTGGTGCGCATATAGGAATGTGAAGTATGCCCCACACTGTTGGAAATTTTATGCAATTTGATTAGGGGTTGCGTATGCTGAGCATTTTCCGTTTCTAACGTTACGTTCGCATATTCTTGTATGTTACTAGCCCGATTTATTAACCGTTGATGTCTACATTGAACACGAGTCGGTGTACAACGTGCAGATCTAACTTGATGTGACTGCACCCCCGTATCACTAACTGCACTGATAACCAGCGTTTGATTATGTACTATACTAGGATCTACGTTATTATTTCGTATTGCCTCTTCGTATGGCGGTGGTGCTTCTCCTCTTGGAAAGTAATTACCTGGTGGTTTCCACAATGAAAAATGACCATTAGACTCTTCATAATGGAATTCTAAGTCACTAAAAAATGTGCGAAAATAGTTTAGCCGTTAATATTCCGCATTTACCCAATGTTCCCAGGAAGATAGCCTAAGCTACCGGTAATGTATCCAATACTGTTTAAACTTCTTTGATCATCTCCTAATGGCCTTTGTTGCTGAACACGTAATTTATGTCTACGAAATCGATGAATAACAAAAAATAAGAGTGATAGAGTTAAAATAACAAAAACTGCGCTAGCGATAAGTCTCAATGCTAAATCGTACGTATCTTTATAAGTATCGTTTGCCGTTAATATGTCGTCGAGGCATTTAAATTCGCAACACGAATTCCCTCTTTGGAATGATTTACAGTTCTACAATAAATTGTAACATTTAAAGAAGAGTGAGCAACAGAGAAACGTACCTGAGGTTGCGAACACAAAACAGATTTGCACCATTTAGGGCCACCTTTGTCGCAAATGCATAAGGTACAACTATTTGGTCCAGGCACATAATGTAAACCTTGTGATATAATTTGTGAATGTATATCCACACAATGCCCTGATACATCTAAAATGTCCCAAAGTTACAGAGTAGGTACATTAGAAGTCGCAGTTCCACTTACAATATAAAATTTCAAAAAAGATTCCACAAACATAAACTATTTCCTGCAACATCTCAACATTATGCTAAAAATTAAATATTGGTTCACATTTTAACATAGAAAATTAAATAATTATTGGAGTTGACACTTATCGATTTGTAAACTACTGTTTTTGTTGTAATATAGTGTTTACTATATCGGCAATATATGTGCCATTTTTGTTCATGCGTTGTGGCTATTCTACCGATGTACTAGTGTAGCACCTTACCATTGGCAACCCGTCAAACACTGCACCTCTACAAATTTTATTTACTTGTAATTACTCATATGGTACTCATGGTATTTGAAGCTTTCCTTTTCAAGTAAAATTAATACTAATAATTATTAAGTAATACTAATAATGGGGGACATCTCTGCTCAAACTGTACAAAAATTCCGTATTTTTGTTAATACTAAGGCGCAAAACCTAGGAAATGGCGCATTAAAATTCAATTTAATCGCAAATTTTAGCCGCGATGGAATCATTCTGAGCAAGTTGTAAGCTCTCCATCTAAGTGGACGAAGACAAGCTTTAGAGGCTGCAGAATAGCTCATGTAGCGTCTCAATGGCGTGTTAGAGGTACTGACTCGTCCAGCGAAACGCAATGTGTATTTGTTTAGTATTAAAGTTGGTAGAAATTTGTGTGGCAGCTCTGAATAAATGGAAGAATTTTGATTTTTTACTTTTGAAATTTATTGCAAATTTTACAACTTGGAACATAATTCACAAAGCAAGATTTTATTCTTGGCCGATAAAATGAACTAGGTACAGGTTTTTTCTTTTATTTTATTCGCCCCCCAGGCCCAAGTGAGGTCATGAGCCAACCCCAAAAAACTCTTCCTTAACGTTTTAGCAAATCCGGCTTACACTCCGAAATAAATGGTTACAGCACTACACTTACACTTGGAGTACTTGGGCACCGACCTCTTTTTTTCATCCGTAAAATGGTCATGAGTAGGATTACGTTTAACCGCACCCCTACTTACATATAATATTTTATTGCTAATGTTAATAGCCATATGTAACCCACTAATGTTAAATCCAAGAACTTCAGAACAACATTTTAAGAGCAATAATACAAAACGGATTTATCTCTCACAAAGCACAACGTGTCTACAAGAGAGAGAAAAATACCAGTTCTTTGGCACTAATAATAACGGTACCGATACCGATATCATAACTTCTTGAATACCTGTTCCAATTCCAAGTGAAGGGCTTATAACTGCTATCAATTTCGGTTCTTTTCGGTTCCGGTACCAACCTCTGTCTTAAGGACCATTTGATTGCCGTTATTAGAGCACTGACGATGTGGGTACAAGGGTTCGAATCGCCGGTAAAGGATGTTTTAACTACTATTCCGCGTAGCATTAAAAAAAAGTTGGTAATTTTGTAATCCAAACAGATTTAAAAATCGATATCTCCGTTAATATTGACGTACAAAACGAAAAAATCACAGCGCAATAAAGACGAACAAATAAATGTCTTGAATTTGGAGGAACAACTAGCAATGCGCGTGATGACCCACTATTACATTTTTTGCTTATACAGCTTATACTTTGACCGTGAACCATGGCATTGGTGCAGAAAAGAAAGTAGACGTGTATATTTTCTCGATATTGCAATACAATTATTCGTTCGTATATAAAACTTTACTCAGTAATAATCAAATTATTTAAATTTATTCATGCAAACTAAGGAATTACTTTGCATAGGTACTTAGTGTAACGTATAGTAATTATTTATATATTCTTGTTATCTTCCAACACTTAATCATGCTTAATAAATTCATCTTTTCTCAGAGTACATATAGGTACGTTCCACTTTCGTTGTGTAACTTGTAACACCTATAAAAATCAGTAAAAGGGAAACTGCGAAAAGAATATATTCAAACCATCATTTTCAGTAAATACATAAATTTTGAAAATAGATGGTTATACCTTCATAAGGTAAGATCATTAATCAAATATGTTATATACGGAGTGATTAACGTAAACCAGGTTTCCTAACTTAAATGAGGACCAGAAAAATCTTCCCTACCGTACCTAGCAAGGGGAAGCTTTTCACCTAATGGGAAACGTGCAATAAAACAATGTTTTGATTTCGAGTTTGTGCTCTAGGAAGAGAAATACGAAACCGGAATCATAATTTATTTATCGGTTTATTAAGTGATGGAAAGTGACGCAATAAAATAAAGATGCGGATATAAAGAAATTGTAGTGCCATAAAGTACAACACCAGATGAAATCTTCTCACAAAAATTTTGTCATCTTACCCGAGATACTCTTCAACACGTATCGTTCTCATTTAAATCAGAAATGATAGGTCTGAACTTTCTTTATGATTACCATTTTAAATACCAAATGTAAAGTCTTCGTTGGCCCACTCTGTATACTGAAACTAAACGATGAAAGTGAAAACGAAATATGCAATAGCTATAAGTTATAGCGTTATTTTGGTTGCAATAGGTATATGCCAAGTTCACATGTCCCCGTTAAACATCCTCCAGCACTGCATATTTGGGGATGACCCTTTCTCTTAAACTTACCAAGATATAAATAAATATTCAAACTCGATTTACATTAATACATCTTGTATACTCTTTGAAAATATGATGGTGCTTAAAATTTTAGGTAAATATTAGTGATTATTGATGATTCAGTTTTACTTATATACCTTGGTACCTTAATTAAAGGGTTGCTGATAACCGCTGCCGCTGGCGCGAGGATAAATGTATCAAATTTACCAAATTCGGATCGAGGTGTACCGCAATCAGTTTTGAACGAAAACTTATTTAATGTTTACCCCCATCTGGTTTACGTTACGCCTGGGTAAGTAGTTTGATTTTTATAGACTATACGCTTGTACTATTTGTGAATCTCAGTCCATTCGTATTGTTTTTCAGGTCTGGGGTTGTAGTATCTAGGGTAGGTAATGTTCGCAATGTTAATTATGGAAGGAAAATGTTTCAAGAGCAAGTTCCAACTTCTTTCCCTGGAAGAGGCGAAATTGCTAATGAGCAATTTCTCAAAGAAGTTACACCAACGACACGAACCGTGTTAGAAAAGCAACAAGTAACTGCGCCATTTATGCGAGCAAAATTTTCGTCAAATATTGAAGGTAAACTAAGAGATCAAGATCAATATACAGCACACCATCAAGTGGAAGAGAACGATGACAGTATAGAGCAAGGACATAACGCAAATGGCCCGTAAGTATATCAGCCATGTCGGTTTTGTCAATATACCAAACAAATTCATGTGCAATAGTGAAAGGATGACCTACAAATGTGTTACAATTTAGACAACCGGTAGCAGTCGCATCTTGTTCACTTTGTAAACATTATTATGAAACACTGCCTTCTAATTGACATCGCACACCTCCTTATTTAACTTACATTTTCGGTGCTTCAACTATTTCAAAATTACGCCGTCGAAATCATCAATATTTAATAGCTTAAATTTACATATACGTTACATAAAATTTATATTATGAATTAATGTACATTTTTATAGAAACCCCGATTTTCGAGTCTTGTTTGTGCAAGGGAATGAACCCATTGCAGAAAACAACCATTATCACCAAAGATTGGTGTACAACGTTAAGCCCAAGTCGATCCTCGGAGCAAGTCAATCTCTAAGGAAAACGCATTTAAGAAAACCTACAAAGCCTCAGGCCATTGATTATGATTATCAAGAGGAAAGAACCGAAGGAACTCTCCAACCTGCAAATCACTACGTACAGTTTTCACAAGCAGATAACGCCAACGAGCAAATTGGATTAAGCAATTTTCAATCCAGTTCTAATCCACAACCTTTTGAACCCCACCGTCTTCAAGACGAGCTCTCAGAAGAAGAACTATATTCGTTTTATATTAAACAACTTCAACAGAAACTCGCGCACTTCGTACCAAAGAAAACCAACGTTCCAGAATCAAAAACGATAAGTAGACACAAACAACTCCCAGTTATATTTAAAACTAGAAACGAACAACCCTACGAAGAAAATGCTACCCCTATCAGACGAAGTTCGCCGATACCTAGAGAATTTCACTATGAAAGTTTGCCATACAACCACTTTATTAAAAAAGAAAGGGCCGTCCAAATACTCCAAGATGAAGAGGAATGAGACGCATTTTTATAGAATAAATAAGGAACTAATTTAATTCTGCATCTTTAGTAAGATGTGCCTTCCTAGTAAAATAAATTATTAAATAGCTACTTGGGTACCTACATTTTATGTCACTCTCTTATCTTATAATAAAATATTTTCTAATACATCGCAAATATACTCACTTTACTGCTTAGATACGGCGCCATAAAAAATTTTACTTCCGATTCGATCGATAGAACAATAACCCGCAAATGGAATTCCTACAGAATCAATTATATTTGGCAGATACAACATAAAAAGAATATTAACGAACGAAAATAATTGGTTTTCATAGATTGCTTGACGGTAATGCCACAAAAAACCCAGAAATGTCTGGACATCAGTTTATTTGGTAATACATTTTTTTAATTTAAGTGCCCTCTATCATTTCTGAAAATTATAGGAATAGTTATTCTGTGACATCCTGGAGAATGTCCACTGTTTCATCAGACGGTTTAAATTCCGTTTGTTCTAGTCGTGAACGTATTTGTGAAATGTTACAGGCGATGAGTATAGTAGCAAATAGGAAGTAACCTAAATTATGAGTATTGCAAAAACGTCGCGGGCGTCCGCCTGTTCGCACGATAACTCGAAAACGGTTTCAGATATAAAGCTCAAATTGGGTGCACAGATAAGGCCTCACTTATGGAAGAAGTGATGTTGGAATTCAGGGGCAGAGGCATAATCAAAGGAGGCACTAAATGTAACTCCCACTACTTTCTTATTTTAAATATAAGTACGAGTAATCGATAATTCTTTTGTTTGAATCCGGTTGCCAAGGAAACGTACCTACGCAAACAATGGAGAAATTGTAAGACTTTTAAAAGTGGTTGCTTCAATGACTTTTGGGATATAAATTTGCTTAGCATTAGGTAACAGGGCGCGTTTGCTAGCGATGGCAAGGCCATCTTCAAGACTGTCCACGTCGCGGGCTGGCAGAGTAAGTCTGAATCCCATAAAATTATTATATTCATCGCACTTTCCAGATTAATACAGCTTTCAACCCGATGTCTAGTCAAGGAATTCACACTCCACTTCCTATGACTGCCGGTGGTGTAAATACGTACAACATGCCTAAAGATCGACGATATTACATGCATACAATTAAATCACACATGAACATGATAAGAGAGGAAATTATAAAATTGCAACGACAAACGGCAGTTCACAGAACAGCCGGTAATCAGACGTCGTTTCGAAAAATTGCCGAGTCCTCCGCGCAAATATACTCAGAAAATCAAGAAACCCTAACAATATACAATCTTGTGTTAGAAATACAAGCATCTCAAGATAAATATGTCAAACTCTCATATGAAACTAACTTACTGAAAGAAAAAAATAAGCAGTCGCTTATTGACTTAGATAACTTGATCTCGGCAAAAGTTTTGAGGGAGGAATCTATAGCAACTATAAAAAAAGAAATTGAAGAGGTGAGGATTTTCTACAATGGTAGTTATGGAAAGGTAATAATCGGCATTTATTGCAGGAACAACGGCATGTGCAAGAAATAATTGATAGTTTGCCCAACAAAGATAAAGCGCAGTACATGGACTTATTCGCGGCCAATACAGTTATTATTCCCAAAATTCGTCATACAGAAGGTGAACTGAAATTATGTCAGGAATCTTACAAACAAATGAAAAGAACGTTAAATAAAAGTTCCGCCAAGCAAAAATATTGTAATTTAATTCAAGGTTTGAACAAAGCAAAACAGCACAAAGAAAGCCTACAACTGCAGAGTAAAGAAGCTTTGACGCCTTCTGAACAGCGAGAAAACTTGATACAACAGGTACCGGCACGTTTTTTTTGCAAACTTTAAAAAAAGGAATAGATACTACCTTAGCTTCATTGTTTGCCCACATTCATTTACAGAATATTCACTCTGGATGATTCGCTCCATCTCCTACTTAAATTTAAATTCAAGCACTCTTGACTCCATGTGGGATTGCCTTCAAACATTAAGCCCGAGATACGTTTTCTCCACCTCAAGGAAAGTTCTTCACCTACGGAATACCTTCTCGTTCACCAGAAACTTGCTGACTCTCCATTCCGATGCTGTCGCCTCCACAAATTCCCCTTCTCACTCCACCAAATTTGGCCTAGGAGTATACATGTAAAATTTAACCCCAGATAATTTAGCCATATCGTAGCAGAAAAAAATAACAATTACAATCAACTTACTGTCATCCCTACAACGCCACCGCAATGGCAACTCTTGTCAAAGTGGGGAATCTGACAGTGATTTGTGTTTGGTCAGTATTATGGCATACATTTCTCGTGAAAAATTGGAGTTGTTTGAATGCATTAGTTTTGTACGTTCAAACAGGATTTAATAATTATAGGGTTATACCTACTTTCAAATGTACTGTCACTGACCAAGGAATTATAGGATCTTTCTAGAGCGAATTTGGCAAAAAAATTGGCAGTCAGTGAGGCGGCTGCAACCGCATCGAGCAATTAATTAAGCAGAATCAATGTACATGGCTGACAATACTATAGTTATAAAAGATAGGCGCGTTATGATGCCAAAAGGGTAGTTCTGCACACGGACTCTTATTTACCTTAATTGCAATTCATCATATATCGAATGAATAGCAAATTTCAGCAAGATCTATTCAGTACTTTGAAAAATAAACGTAATTCGTTTTATATTTCTCAATCGTTTCCAAAATTGTCGCAGCTTCGGTCAAAATCGAAATTTGGAGTGATTTCAATAACCTCCTAATTTTTTATTGGTGAAGTTAATGAAACAGTTCAGGAGTGTAGGGCTATATTCTTTTGCACTTTTGAAATACATAATTTTAAAACGTTCCCCCATTTAAATTTCTGTTAAAAAGTCTAAAGTTTGAATTCAGCGTTTAATCTTCGAATTCAAGCTTTAAAATCTGAGATCAAAATGAAATATGTGTACCTATATCTTAATCTTCGCCTTCGTAGAAACATGTTCATTACCTAACTTGAAAACATCTATACTTTGTGTAGGTAAGATCGAACAAAGCAGATACGGAATCGCTCACGAACATGATGAAGCTTTTGGAACAAGATTACCAAAATAAAGAAGAAAGATTGGAAATGTTAAAATTTCAATTAAGCGAAAGTAATGCAAAACATTTAAAAAAACATAAAGAACTACGCCAGCGCGAATTGCTAATAAACTCGTTCAACAGTACCTTTCTGGAAAAATCGAAATCTTTAAAAGAAAGGATTCAAACCGCCAAACGCGAAATTTTGTTACTCCTAAACGCTTCCTCAAAATCTATCTCCGACTTAAATTTTGAAGAGCTCGACAACATTCAGTTAAACCTTAACCAGTCATCTGAAGCTGATATTAATCAAAGGATTCAACTGTTCGCTTTGCGTCTTACAAGGGTGAGTATCTTTATAACAAAACTGCAGTTTAAAAATGTCATTTTAGTTACAAGATTGTAAGATCAAGTACGAAAAGGAAATTACCAAAGTCAAAGAAAAGTCCGGTAACTTAAAACGCGAGATTAAAAAGTTTGAAAATCCGGAACGTGTCAATGAAGATCTAAATACCAAGTGCAAACATCAAAGTCAGAAATGCAACGAATTACAGCAAACTCTTTTTACTACGAAAGCCGCTGTGGCGGAAACTGAACGGATACAGGAAGAAATAGACGTGAGTTCAATAAACAAAAAAGACGAACGCATTTAAAATCCTATTTCAGCCACAATTATTCGATAATAATATTTACAAGGAAATTCAAAACTTGGAGAAGGAAATAGAAGAAGTAGATAACGAAATACAGAATTTAAAAGGATGCATAGGTCGCGTGCAAGTAAGAGAATCGATCAGCAATAAATTGAGAGAAATAGAATCACTGGCGTCTTCAAGGAACGAGCAGTTGATTAAAAATGGTCGATCTAAGAAACCGACTATGTCTGCATCTTCACCTTAAATCTGTCACGATTAGAAACTCTGGCAATATTAATGATTAATATAGATATGTTCAATTCATTGAATTAGTAAATGTAAAGAAAACTCTTCATCTTCATCTTTCAAGAAGCAGATCTTCCCAACTGGAAAAGTACAGCCCATAAACTCTCGCACTTGTAGGCGTCGAATACTCCATACAGACGCCAAAAAGATACGGTTTCAAATAATTCTTCACCAGGTATCGTAGCAAGACTCAATTACAAAATTCATGGAAGTGTAACCTGCATTCTTCCGAAAAAATACCCTCAGAATATTTGTTTCGATGCCCACCACCTACTTTTTTTGACATTTTGTTACACCATATACCCTCCCCAGTTTTATTCTGCCTTCCTAATAGTGAGGTCGGATCCAAGAACCAAATTTTGCATGAAGCTTCCCAAGAAAATTGGCATTTTGCTTCATGCTGCTTGTATCTGGCTGGTAAATATCTTTTCACTAAGCGAGCTCTCTATAAAACTAATGCATTTGGAAGTTTTCTCAAAGAAATTAGAACCGAAATATCAATTTCGGTTAAATTTTGCTCTAAAACTTTTAACCTAAGGCATGGATGGAATGCATATCAAAGTAACACGAAGTGTAAAAGTAGCAAAAATTCACAGTCAATTAGTCAATTAATCTACACTTCCACAACTTGTGCCCCTGTCGATTTAGAGCCCTGAAAATCATAAAGGATTTGAAGATCCACGAATTTTTTGATCTGCGCATCTATACAAATTTTTCTCTAAAAAAGAGCTATCGTGGACTTTGTTTCCGACCCCCATTCACTTTTTGCTAGAAGGAAAGCCAAACAAAATTATCATTTTTTAATCAATTTGTCTGTGTATTAAAAAAAATTATAAAAGTAACAAATTAACTTTGCGTCCTCATTTTATTAAATAAACTAGAGATAGTCGGCTGGGTGGCTTTTCTAAAACGTGACAGATCTACTTTTCCAGCCGATCTCTTGACTTGTACTGCCTGAAACAAAACAATATAAGACGGTGCGTTGCTTCAATTAACGTACCTTGCCCTTTTGAGATCTCTCACTCTTGGCAAGACAAACAACTTCGCTTTCAACATCAACAACATTAACTGATGTTACTTTTTCGATATCGGAATCTGTAATGTCGCCACTTAAGGTACTTTCAATACTGCTACACGAAAGCAAGACGGTTTCACTTTCAATTGAATGTTGATAAACTTTTTTGGAAAACTGATGCCTAAATGATTGAACACTTGTTTTATTTAAAATGGGACTCAACCGTTCATCTACTAATTCTTCTTTAGAGGAAGCATCACTTGAACATTCTGTAACTTCAACACTTTCAGTTTCTAAGATTGTGTTCGAGTTTTTACATTCCTCTGTTTCTATATTTGTTATAATTGACGAAGAACTTTGTACTTTAAAAAACCTGCTTACTACGTGTTGATTTGGATCCACACAAGTTGTGCTAAATTTGCTAAGTCTTTTTTGCTTAACAAATGGATTATTTATATGAACTTCCACCTTTTCTTCGAGTGGAGCTGAAGGCTCTTCACTTTTTCTACGTTTTGGCGGAGGCTCTGTACGGTGGTACACCTTTAATTCTTCCTCTAGTTTCTTTTCGTACTCTAACATCTCTCTCTCTTGAATTAAAGCAGTATCTGCCACTGGAACATCTTTCTCAACAGTTCTCTTGGTAGGTGTAATTTTACAAATTTGGGGTTGTTGCGACTTTTTATATACTTTGGACCATATGCTATCATTGGCAAGGACCTCTCCTTCAGGGTTCCAAGTGTCCATAACTTTCAAACTTATTGGATCTATATTACCAATAGCCATTTCGAAAGAGCGATCGCTCTCATCTATTGTTCCCGCATTTTTTAGATGCTTAAGTTCGGTGCTGGCGTCTTTGGGGTCAGTCAGAGGTACTTGCTTTCGACTTATAGGATCGTAGACAACCTGATGCCTGATCGTGGCGTCGGCAAATTTGAAGTTTTCTATATACTCCTCAGTCACAACTAATTTACTTAAGTTTAAATATTGAGGTAGTCTCGGTAATAACTAAAAACAAAAATAATCAAAATTACGAGGAAGTAATAAATCATTCAAACCAAATATTAAGTGCATTTCATTTTGGTTTAAAAGATAATGAAGTTCAGTTATCTTAAAGCAATTCCGTCTGGAACATGGTATACATTTGGCATAGGCGGCTTATGTTCCAAACTAGCAAATTGACTATGATGGCACCCAAAAGGAATGACAAAAGACATAGCAAACATGGATCATAATCTTACAAGCCATTAGACAAATGAAAGAAAAGATGAAGGTAAGTGTGAACACCCAAAATGAAAGATTGACGGTTGAAAAAAACAACATTGTGAAGCATCAATTTTTAGTGTTTGGTCAGTGAAATCATATGTTCGACCTTTTTCCATAACTTAATGAGTAATAAATAACAATATAGCAACCCACAATAGAATAGTAGTTTACTTACTGAAACATGTCCATCATCGCTCGATTTTTTTTAAACACCTGTACCTGCTATGTACTGGTACTTTTCTTTTCAAACTGGTTGGTGTGCAATGTATATGCGCACTGCTTCCACAAGATGTTGCTTGTCAGTAAGCTGCAACTTTGGGCAACCAATGTAGCCCGAGAAGTTAAAAGTTGTAAATGGACTCAATATGAGTAACAGGATAAAATTACCTACTCTGATCTACATTAATAAAATGAATAGTACACCGCATCATTTTGAGATACAAGGGTCTTACCTCAATTCCACAGCATTGTAGTATGTTTGTAATGGAACAACACTCTTCGTCTTAAACTTAGATATTTTTTAACAGAAACAATTGCTATCTCATAAAATAATCGTAGTTTATGTGTCATTTTTTTTAGATGTTAAATTAAGGGGAATGTCTTGGTGAAATGTACTAAAGATTATGTTAAATGCACCTGTCGTCGATTGGTTAAGTGAAAGAGTAGTACCAATAATAAAGACACTGAAATTTGCCACTCAAGTATGAAATAAAGACATTGATTATTATTATTTGCTTGGCAACTTATTTTGAATAACATCCGTATAGTAATATCCAAAGTTAGTGAAGGGTAATATGCGCTCTTATACTTATTTTCTAATCCAATAGGAAGTATCTTTGCAGAAAGAATCTGCAGTGGCTTGACTTCCCTTGAACAATATAATATAATATAAATACATGATGCTAAAGGTCAGGATTTTTTAGGCCAGATTCTTATAGACAATGAAACATGGGTGTCCTACATTGCACCTGAATCTATGGAATGGTGGCAACCAAGGAAGTGAAGTTTAAATGTCCAATTTCAACTAAAAAAAAAAGCATGCGTACTTGTTTTGCAACAGGAAAGATGTTGGTCAGTGCCATAATGACGAAACCCTCAAAACAACAGCGTTTCAGTATCAAATCAGGCTGCAAGTTTCTATGATGACGGTATACCTTATAGTGGCGGAATATATATGAAAAAGTAGATTAAGGTGTGGGCTTTCATGTAAAAATGTAATACGTCAAAACGGTACTTAAAAAACACCCCTCGTACTTCACAGAATGGCATTATGAATAAAAAATACTGGCCACATTTTCTTCAGATTCTTATTCAATGTTAGCGGCGCCGTATTTAAAAAATTAAAAATTGTGCAATGCAGAATCTCTAAATGATTACCTTTCCTATTCTATGCCAGAGAACACTATGCAACTGCAAAAATGTAAGTACCTTATATATGTCCGGATTATGAGTTAGTAAAACAGCTTTGTGAGCCTTCTTGAGGCCAATTCCGGGAAGAGAATCCAAATAATCACAGCCTGAAATAATGCACATGTAGCGAAATTTGTCGAAAGTATACTGGTCAGGTCTCATTTTCATGGCAGTAATAAGTTTGTTATGCTCGACTAGGACTCCCGAACCATCGAGGTTAAATTTGAAGAAAATCTGTAACCTCAAAATAATAACAATTCACTTTCAAAGCACCTTTACCTTTGAACATCCAAACAAAATGAGATCAGAGTCCTCGGTTATAACAACATCGGCAATTCCGCATCTATTTAAATAAGCGAGTTGAGCATCTGCTTCATATGGCGCGACAATGCAATCAATTTTATTCTTTCGGCACTCTTTAATAAGCGCTAAAGCCATTTCATGTGTGATGTTCACAGACTGTCGTAAATACTGACGGGCTTCTTCCACTTTACCCAAACGTAATAACTCAGTGGCACGGTTTCGAGCATGTAACCTATGCTCACGTCGTCTTCGTTCAGTCTCTTTCTTCGCAGGTAAATGTTGACCATCAAAGACCAGTATCGGTTTAATATTATAAGAGCGCAGCAGGTTAATGTACTTGAAACAGTACTTCACGTACCTAATAAAGAAAACATAAATAATAAATCTAATTTTTGCATAAAATTACGCGTCAGTGGGTTCTCCTCGAACTAGTTTGTCTGCACAACTAAATGTACCCTTGTGAAGCCAACAGTACGAATCAATCGCAACTGTTAGGCCACGAAATTCGTTTATGTAACATTTTTTCGATGCAGATTCCAGAAAGGGTAATAAACCACTAATTCCCATCTTTCATTTCTTTTTAAAGTGACTTATCATAAATAAAAAGGTGTTTTATTTATGGTAACATATAATCAACTGTACAGATGTAAATTATAAGGTTAGAAAACAGTTTCCCGCTTTTTTCAAAAGTGAACGAGCAGTGTCTACTCATACAATTTTAAGACAGTGGCGGCACATTCACTTTTAGAGCTCGCTAAACCTTGGTAATGAATTTTTGAAACGTAACCCTAGCTTCTTCGTTGCGCCACTCACCAAAAAAACTGACTAATCTTGTGGTCAAGCCAAGCAGGTAGCTATTATCAGTAAAATCATATAAACAAGTTTTATATTTCCAAAAACAACATCTTATAGCCGTATGCACCGGCAAATTTAAGGGAGCGCAGCTTATAATCCTTGGCAACGATTATTGGAATTCACCTTGGTTGCTATGGATTTTCTACGCTTAAATTCGTCAGTGCATACGGACATTAATGTGAAAATGCAGATCACTTGGCGGCGTCTGAAAACCTTGTACGCTTGAAAGCAAGTTTTAATATTAGGACTTAGAACGTTTATTTTGAAAACTTCCTTTGCTCAAAACAGTTATCACAAAACATATTTAAAAAAAATAGTTATTTCTATTTTATTATGTTTTACATGTTCAACACAAAGAATTGTCTAATTTTGATTCAATGGAAAAAAGTGCTGCATATCTTAAACATGCGTCTTGTTTCAAATTGTTTCTGCTTTAACAGACAATATTTGATCTAGTTAATGACTGCCACAGTGTGAACCCATAGAGGGCGGCGTTTGACTTAGTGTTCCTAAGAAAGCCTGATATCCAACACAAATGAGCGTGTTGTTCCGTAACTAATGTGTAAACCAAACTAAAAAAAAACGCTTTGATTACTTCCGATATAACTATAGTACACTCAACACACTATTATATAAAGAAAAATATCACTGATTCTGCTTAATACTAAAACGTAAGTAAATTCGAAGAGAGAAATGTCAGTCAAACGTCCACAGTAATCTCCTCATCTTCAGACATATCACTCACTAGGATAGCATGTGGTAACGAAGTTGGTATTTTCTTAAAAGGTTCGAGTACTAAAAATTATCAAATAGAAATATTTCGTGACACTAGACAACGTTACCTTTTATGTTGGCTACCATTAAATGCTCATTAAACTCTTCCACAGTCATTTTCGTGTCTAATTCTACGTTCGTAACCTGAATTTTCCGATTTTGAGCGGCTAAAGTTGATATGCTTTCGAGATGTTGGACTTGCGAGACATGTGGTCGAACCTATGCAACGAAATATTATTAATCTCTCTGGAAGAAGAATGAAAATATAAAGTTTTCCGTGATTGCTCCTTTGTGCTGCACACAATAAAAATTTAGCCGAAAAATGCTTGACAAATAAATAAGCTTTTTAATGCGTTAATGCAAGCAATAAAAAATTTCGTTTTTCAAGTAAAAATTCAGCAAAAGGAAGTTAGTGATATGACTTTTTAACGATCTACTTGACAAGTAACTGTCATAAAAACACATGTAAATTTACCAAACGACGAAACGATTGATAAGGTATACCTACTGTGAGAATGCAGATTCCGTCCCTTTTTCCTTGTATTTAAAACTTAATGGAAAAATTATTAATTTTGTTCTCGTTACTATATTATACGTATATTGTTTGTTATTAACATTAACACTCACTTTAGGCTGCTTTACTCTGAAAGATAAATGTAAAGTTTTTATTACTACTAAAATGAATCTTGTATCGCACCATAAAGCAAAAAAAGTCATCGTACATAAGAAAAATGTTTATTTAATTTGTTAGTGTTTAACACTTTCTTTCGATCATTTGAAATTTTCTCGGAAATTTTGTAGAAAATAAATTGTTTATGAATTTTATATTTACGAATAATGTTCGGTGTTTGTACCCCAATTATATTAAATATTGTGATACTGGTATATTAGTGAAATATCCACTTTATTTTTGAATATTAAAACGCAGTAGAATGTGAATCTATCCCTTATCGATGTGTTGTGGCCATACACTGTGGTTATGCCAGTGAATTATGTCAAATACACTGTAATGAGAATAAACGTCTTAGTGTCTATACTCTAATTACTAAAAAACAAAATATATTGACATAATACCCTAAAAGTATCACTATCCTGTCCTCAATCAAATGCTATACCTTTGTGCATTGTGTGTTGCCTAAGTATCCAAGTTTGAGAATAAAATCTCCGTTAAGGTTACCTTTTTTTTACTTAAATCACATAAAAGTGTGAGTAAAAATGATTCGATATGTAATATATTTCTTGAATTAAAAAATAAAAAACATCCCATAAAAGCATTTCTTTTCCAATTTCGGCACAGTGTAAGGAAAATGAAATCACGCAGCGTAGTACAAGTAGTCATAAAAGGTATATCAGTTTTGTTTATATACACACTTTATTCCCGTCGGGACGGTGAGGATTTCGGCACCCTCTGCATTTACATCCCAGGCAAGCTTTACTTTCCACGTAACAAGGACATCGCTGACCACAGCATGTTAATTTTCCCGGAGTTGCTGTAGCATTTCCGCAACGACATCCATGACGAGACTTTAATATGCACTTGTTTGTAGGTTTCTTGAAAAGGGCCTGTAAACAATATAAGCCTTTACTGTACAATAATTAAGAATCAACACGTTACCTTATTGCAGTTTTCTTTTTTAATTGGAATGTGAGTTTCTTTCGATTTACGCTTTATAGTGATTTTATTGCCGGACCCTGCATATGTGATTGAATATAATGCTTCGTGATCGGTAACCTTTTGCATAGTGGAATTTAACAACATGCCTCTATTCTTATCATTATGAGTTAGCTGTAAAGTTTGTGTCGACGAATTTGTGTATATGCAAGGTAAAATGCTATATAATGACTTTGATAAACCTACATTAATTTGGTAATCATCTTCGAACGACGCTCCTTCCTTTATTAACATTATAAGATTACTAGCTCCAAAGCCACTATCCTGCGTTGCTAATTGTAGTAGTCGCTGAAATATTCCCGATTGTGTTAACATTATACACATCTTTTTGTAACACTGCAGAAGTATTCGCAATGTCTGGTTTTCCGTGTACGATTTACAATCCTTGCACCACAGACACGCCGGTTTAATTTTTTTACGTCCACCTTTACACTTTCTACATATGTGATGTTGACATTTACCACTTACAGGTGTTAAAGGGTCTGTTAACAAATTCCCGCACACTACACAGCAGAGCGAGTTTCTTAAATAAGGTGCTAAGCGATACAGATCTTGCCAGGTACTTGGATTGTTTGGATCGGATTTTAATATTATTTGGCTTGTAGTTATATATAAGCTAGTAGAATTCATCTTTGCCATTATATAATATAACTCTTCTTTATTAAACAATATATTCTATTAATAATTTATAAAGGGTTTACAAACTTATTTAAAGATGTTTTTTATTGTACTTTGTTTACGGTTTATTTGACAGAAACGACACAACGGTGTCTCCTCTAGCTCTACCGATTTGTACAGGACGTTGGTGAGCTAACGACAGTTGTGTGATGTACACCTCCAGTAAGCTGCAATTGTCGCGAGTCGTGGCGTGGCTCTCGCCTCTACCCCCAATGGGCGAATTTTAAATAATTATCAAAGCCAATTTAGTTGTTATATACAATACTAAAGTCCAGCGTGTTTATTGACGCCTGTAATCATCCCAACCCAGCACGACAACACCGCATTTAGGTAAAATTTGAAGAAGTAATTAATTTTTAGAAAATATCAAAAAATCTAAGCTAGGGAAGTGCTGTTGCCTATTTCGGTAAGTACAGGTTTCCCAAAAATACCTGGACGAATTTTTTGTAGAAATGGTTGTGCCCCCCTGGAATTTCCAAAAGTCTGCGCCTATGAATTTGGGTGGCCAAAAATGGCGGCGACTGCCATGCACGTTCGCGTTTGCGCATAAGCGATGGTAAAGCTTAGCTTAGCCTCCCCCCTTTCGTTTTGTTCATTATAAACTTAACCTATGCGTTTCGACTGTGTTCATAACTTTAACTGAATTAAAAATGAATATTATGAAATCTCAAGTAAGAACACCTAAACCTACTCTACTTACTAATGATTTCGAAATTACCAGCACTGTGTTAGGGCTTGGTATCAACGGAAAAGTTGTAGAATGTTTCTCGAAGAGCAAGAAAGAAAAATTTGCTCTAAAGGTGAACTAGGCATTATTTATTAGCAAAGCAGGTGCTATCGTCTTTTATAATTGAAGGTGCTGCACGATTCTTTGAAAGCAAGGCGAGAAGTGGACCTACACTGGCGAGCAAGCGGTTGTCGACACATAGTTAATATAATTGATGTTTACGAAAACACATACAATGGCAACACATGTTTACTTGTTGTTATGGAGTGGTAAGTCTAAAAGCAACGCAAGAATCATATCATAATTTAGTTTAGTATGGAAGGCGGAGAACTGTTTCAGAGAATTCAAGGTCGTCAAGATGGTGCTTTTACCGAAAGAGGTACGATGCAAAATTGACTATTGTAATTAGAATTTTGTTTATATCTTCAGAGGCCGCTCAGATTATGCACGAGATTTGTATTGCCGTAAAGTATTTGCACGATAATAACATAGCGCATAGAGATTTAAAACCTGAAAATTTACTGTACACGAAGGAAGGTCCGTTGGGAATTCTAAAATTAACCGATTTTGGGTTTGCCAAGGAGACATTGACTAAGGATACGTTACAAACTCCATGTTACACCCCATACTACGTCGGTAAGTTGTCAAGTTTGTTTCGGGGCAGTGTGGTTAATCGAGCATTAATTTGTAGCTCCTGAAGTGCTCGGTCCAGAGAAGTACGATAAAAGTTGTGATATATGGTCTTTAGGCGTAATTATGTACATTTTGTAAGTAATCTTTTTGTTGCTAAGGCAAGTACAAGAATAAAGTAGCCCCACATTACTTGTATGAAGCCCGATCTTGTTGAACTTTGGAAAAAGTGACATGAGAACAAAGTGACTCTATTTATTATTGTACCTAACTTATTATATTTATACCACATTTTGATTCAGATGCAAGTTGCCTTGATTACACCTTCATTTACTTCCACGACAAGCAGCAGGGGCGGTGACTTATGTAGGTTTTATTGTGTCTCCCAACGCAGGGCTATTTTTATTACTTGTTTTTTTGAACAATCAAATGGTAGATAATAGAGTTCCTAATTAAGAAAAATTTTTATGGACAAATAATTATTCTTTTAAAAAATAATGACATACTGAAGGATTCATGTATAATGATGCTTTATTGACACACTAATTCTGATTCTTCATTGTTACATACTCTAGAATCTGAAATCGTCAAAAATCAAATGTACATGCCACTATTAATACCGGGAATTATCCCTCTGTTCACCCATTAGATCTTGCACTTCCTTCCATATTCTTTATTAGGTTGTCGTTAATATCAGGAAGGCACATTCAGCTTGGTCCTATTGCAGGTGTAACATGCAAGCCGAGTTTTCTACAATTTCACCTTGTACTAGTTGAGGCAGCGGAACTCGTAAGTGGTTGACTGTTGTTTTGATTACTGTATCGTGTGTGTATATATCAACTGTTGATCGTTATGTTTTTCAAGTCAGAAATAGTCCCCTTTTTGCTCCTTAGATTTTAAAAACAAACTGAACTTGCCAGTTTGTGGATATAAGGGTTGGGAAAAAATTAGTGCTCAGATTTTAGTACAAGGTTAATTTAGAAAATTCCATGAGTTAGATCTTTTGACATGATGAAAAAAGTCTGAGGTGTGCCAGAAAAATAAAAAGGAGATGTGATTACAGATTGTGTGGCTTCCCACCATTTTATAGTAATCACGGTTTGGCCATATCCCCCGGCATGAAAAAACGCATTCGAATGGGTCAATTCAACTTCCCAAATCCGGAATGGCAGAACGTTAGTAAAGATGCGAAGGAACTTATAAGCGGTATGCTTAACGTCGACCCGGCCGAACGACTTACAATAGACGAAGTTATGCGAAATCGTTGGATTGCCGTAAGTTGCATTGTACATGTTAAGAAGTGTGTGCATTTTTCTCTTGCAGCAATACACGGCGGTACCTCAAACACCTCTGCATACAAATAGAATGTTGAAGGAAGGAGAGGAGATATGGCCAGAAGTTCAAGAAGAAATGACGCGTTCCTTGGCGACCATGAGGGTAGATTACGATCAAGTTCATATTAAAGCCCTTGAAAATTCGAACAATCCTTTACTTAACAAGAGACGTCGACGAGCCGTACCTATCCGTGATAATAAAAATTAATGTTTTATCTAAATAATTTATAATTTTATGTATGACTTAATATTGTGTTGGACTGTAAGGTGCCTTTTTATCTTACTTAAAAAACATTATTAGTTTTTTTTACATCCGTTGGAATGTCCATACTGATAGTTTTAAGAGAGCAGTAGTTTTTGTAATAATATAATTTGATCACATTGATTATAGTCTTAGCTAAATAAAACTGATATTAATATACACATAACTATATCCATTTGTAAATGTTATGGTTGTGATCTTTTGATCATAGTTGTTAAAATCAAAATTATACAAGTGTTAATACAAAATGTTACTTTATTATAGAAGCAGTATGCAAAATGTTGAAAATATACCTACATCTAATAATCGTCTTTTTGTTGGTTCGCTAGTATGGGTTTTAGTCCCAACGATCGAGCCACTTGTAAACGTCATCGACACTAGCCGCATCGAAGCACCAGTCATTTTACGATCATTCCAGTGTGTGTGGGCGTCCCACCATCCACCACCTTGGGATGCGCCCAATATAGATGTCTCAACCACACGAGGAAGCGCAGTTTATGGAATATTAAAATGAAGTGTTTTCCCTCATAGAATGTGTTTTGTACATCAGACTATAGCAGTTTTGTTGTTTCACATACCGAATTTTGTCAAAATCAGAATTCCTCTCCGCACCCTTTTTTATGAATATACCATCTTGGAGTACGGATTTTTGCAGAATTGGAAAGGGCGCATACCCTAGGTAAATGCGTTAGTTCAATCCTTGTATGTTGGAAAAATTAAAGTAATGCATATATATGAAATTGCAGTTAGGGGGAATAGCTCCCACCTGGCACCTCAACTTTTGTCTACTACACAATTTTGAACTGTTTATCTTACTCTATGTGTAAGTTTATAAAAAAGCCTTAAACGATTATTCTCTGTCTTATCTCTAATGAACAAGCACCATAAACTTATTAGCGGCATATGAGTTGCCAGATACACAGATCTAATGATCAGGTACGCTTTGATATAAAATCAGAAATAGCTAGCAAACAAAGGACATCAGATTGAACTGTATGCAAGGAACTTCTACGGGAGAGGCTAGACGTCCTGTAGAGATTGATAGAAGAGGGGAGGTTTTTTAATGTACGCAAAAGAGCAGGTTAAACATATCGATCTCGTACCTATATGGCATGGAGATATGTAAAAGAGGTATTTATACTAAAGATCGGACGCGAGTTGTACAAAATCGTACTAGGGATAATGTGCTGGGCTAGAGCGGAAAAGTCTGTTAATTGTAATCTGGTTCTTCACACAGAATAGTGGAAATGACTCAATCGTAAATTAACTGCCCTGGGTTCCTTCTTAGATATTGAGGAGACGTTCGATAACACCTCCGACATCAACCATAAAAGAAGTGTACAAAACCGGGGTGAAATTTGTAGGTGGATAGCCTGTGTTTGAAAACAAAAATATTCACACTGCTGCTAATAAAACCACTGTGGGTATATAATATATACCTACCTGCCGCAAGGGTATGATCCTAGAGGGAGGGGTACTATCCTTTCTGTAACATGACAGATGCGGCCTTAGTTTGTTGGAAACGGATTCGACAAGGAGATGGACAAAACTAAATAAGGTTAAGGCTCCTAGAAACCCTTCTGCCTCTACACCTTGTGGTGAGAGCGGAGGTAATGTAGACTGTTTTGTCTCAGGAAGTGGTTAAGAGTTGCCTTTTATGTGACCTCACCGGCATGTAGAATCATTTGACTAGGGTAAGACTATAAGAATATCTCTGGTTAGAGACAAGGTAAGGCTCACTATTCAAGGTACCAAAGGGCTGAAGGCGTGCTGAAACCCAGTAGGAATGATTTATACCTATGAACAGGCTTTGAAGTAGACCCTCGCTGTGCAGGAGGTGCGGAGAGAAAGAAGAAAGACCTCTATTGTGAGGCGTTAAAGGCACACATTCATTGGGGGAAGACAGATACACACAAAAATGCTTCAAAATCTTTTGAAAGGACCGAAGCTAAAAGGTATAAGGCCACAGTACACTTATACATTATCACACAAGTGTTAATTTAAACAAGTTTAATACTTTTCTGAAAATTAAGTATGTATAAAATATAAAATATGCTTCTATCAGCAGTATAGAACCACAGATACAGTGTCTTGCCAGCAGCCTACATTCATTAGATTGCAAACTAAGAAGCATTACAAAATTCGATCATTATTCTGAATATATAACATAAAATCACATGTAAGTACTTGCAGTTACACAATCAATGCTTTTTGTTGTCCCTGCTTGGTTGTACTCGAAAAGAACTACAAAAAGCATTCAATTGCTCTATACACAGTGCTATAAAAGAAAGTTTTTTAGCCTAAAATGGGTTTACTTTAGTAAAACAAAATTTATAAAAAATATTCTTCATTAACGTCTTGTAATTTACACTGAAGCTTCTAACGCCACACCTAAAAATTCTTCGAACCCTATCGTAATACTGCCTTGCATTTGCTGATCTCGTACTCGGAATGCTTCAGTAAAACGTTGAATTTGAACACAGACAACGATGAACTGATCAACGGACATTTTATGGTGGTTCTCTAAGTCGCTCCGATTAATCAACTGTTTAACAAAACTCGGCGAAAATCGGAAACCCATTTGCTGCAATGCTACTTTCAAAATAGTCAATTGTCACCGTAATTCCACCTTACCTTGCCCTAACTCTTGCTCTTCGATAGCTCCCGACTGATCACGGTCATAAGTTCTGAATACGCCCAACCACTGATTAATGTAAATATAGAGCTGCTCAAATTCGTTCACGTCGACCATCCCTGTCTTTTCTTTATCAAACATCCCGATCATTAGCTGACAACATGTATCTGAAAAATGGTTTCCTTGTGCGTTTATTAAAGCTGCCTGTAATTCTTTCGCATTAATTTTCCCAGATCGATCTTTGTCAACGGCCGCAAACCATTGTTGTACTTCGGAATTTGAGCTTGGCGGAGCATACTGTCCATACCGAGGACCTTCCACGGGGTAAACCTGCACTGGATAGGCAGGAATATCTTCGCTTCCTTCACCCTATGAATTTTTTTTAATGAAATATATTTAATTCCCTTAGTATTTACCGAATACATCTCTTGTAAATTGAAATGATTCAAAATAGACCTGCTGTCAAAAGTGAATAACTATTTATTAATAATTAATTTGTGATAAATAGTTGACTGAACTTCAGTAAGATGTCGCCAGTCTCTCATACCACTTATATTTGAATTAATTTTGCCGCATTTTCTGGTGGAAATATTAGAGACAAGACTATGGTTTTTGCTACATTTTTTCGTAGTTTGCCCTCTGTACCTCTTACTATAATCAAAATAGCCCAATAGCAAATCGCACAAGGTCTACAAGTAGCCACTGCCAAACTGCACTGTGGTGGGTTTATAGACACCGCCCAAATATTGTATCCAATACAATAGTGCTGTCCATTTATTATTAACAAATAAGGGTGAGTTTAATACTTATTTTATTTACTTAACTTATTAATAATAACATTTCAGGTAATGTTTTAACCCATATAAACAGGTGTAAGTAAGCGTCTTGCATTTACTGACAGGATTCTGTGATGGGGCACGAGCAAGTTACAAGTAAATTTCAAAGACAATTTGCTCCATATCCAATCCATCGCCAGTTATATATGCGTCAGCAATACGAACAGGAACGTCGTCGACAATCCTTAGTTATTTCTTCAAGAGTCTCTGGTACTCCTCCGTGTGACACGTACCGAACTTTAGTGTGTAATCAGAATGCAGAGATTTCCCGCGACAAGTTCATCCAGAAGATAACTAGGTTTATTGATCAGCACAGCGTTAAAGTAATGTCTTTGTGCAGTGATTGTACCGACAAGTGCATCATTTGTATGTGCAATTATAGCGAAAATGAAGGTCTGCGGAAGTTACGATGCAATCATAAGTTTCATAGGAAGTGTATAGATGAATGGTTGTTGAAGTCCTACATGTGTCCTGTATGTCGTTCTGATTTAATTGGATCTGCGAAAGGATGTAATGATGCATGTATTTTACATGGGGAATCCAATTGGGAAAGAGTTCCCAATAATTATGATGAAAGTACATCGACATCCTCTGTTACTTTACAATAATTGTAAATTGTGATGAAAACGAAAATGTTTGCTTTTCTCAATATTCAATAAGGCCTAAGAAGGCCAATTTGATTTCTAGTTATTGTGCAATTGTATTTCTGTAAAAGGAAAACTAGATAAATTCATTTTTGTTTCACTTTTATCTGGTAAGTGCTTTTTACCACAGTTTGTGTGTTCGATTCGGCTTGGCGGCTACGGAAGACTCCCTAATTATCTACCGACTTGACTGTCGTTTGATTTTCCTTCTCTAGACTCTGCCTAGGGAAAATCAAACCGGGAGTACTTGCAATCTGACTTACAGTGATACAATTATGGTTTTCATATTTCAATGCTATTCACATAACTGTCAAGCTAATTAAAAGGGGTACATTACTTGGGAGTTGTCCGTAGCCGCCAAAACCAAGTCGAACAATGGAACTGTAGTAAAAAGCACTACCAGATAGTAAGCTAATTTAGAAGGGTAATTATTCGCTTCACAATTCTCAACATAGTAAAATACATGAGAAAATTTAGCTAATGTAGTTTTGTTTGGCAAAAGTCGTAGGTACTATTGGTGCCTGCGTCATCGGTTTGTTATTTGGTTTAACCGGATTTCCCTCATTTGCGCACTAATGCGGAGCATAATGTGCGAGACATGTTTCAACAACAACAAACGATGACACAGGAATAATTGTAAGAATTTTATGTATGTTAATTAAAATTGAATCTACAAGTTAACTAAAATTTAAACATCGTCTTTTAGCTTGTTACAACATACCTTGTTGAATTATATACTACACTGCTTATATCTTTTGAAATGTAATCTGCAGAAATGATAATAAATATACATTACATTTATTACCATTGTAATGCATACACAAGACTTCTACTTTAAAATTGCAAAGTGAAGCTTTACCTGGAGACCTACATTGTTCAAGACTTCTGAGATGATTTTAAAGTTATGGTTAAGAGGATCCCTGAGAGATTCCTCAGATTATTTCAAACAAGGACAATGTTTTAAAAGTGGATAGAATCTGGATGCAGGGGTTCATTGCAAAGATTCCTGTCGGGAATATAGTTGCGTAATATGTGACAGTCGCAGAGACAGTCTACATTGTTCTGAAACTTATAAGCTTGAGCCGCACATCCCTTTTAAGTAACAATATTTGACAAAATCCTGACTGAAAGGCAATCGGGAACTGTAATTTATTTGAACTATAAAACTACGCTGAAACGTTTCTATGAGTAATGCAACGTATTTGATTGCAATACCAAAACCTAAGTTTTCAAGACATTAACACTACATAGTACATACTGTATTACATTGAAGCTAAGATGCCACTTAACATTCTGAAAACGCTTATATTATAGGACTATTAGAGTTACGCATTAAATTTTCCGTAAGTTCCGCGTGTAAAAAGAAGTCAGTTTTTAATACGCCAAATTGGCAACACGAAACATTATGTATAAATCTACGCACTGCATGAATGTAACAAAATATAGCAAAATTAAGTAACAGCAGTACGGTTTTTATTTAAATTAAACATTCCGCCAAAATAAGATTGTTCTGACATCTAACGTTGGTGTAATAAATTAACGCACCTTTCGGACATCTGTCGTACATGAAGACTATTAACTCTAATTGCACGACACTAAAATATTTAGGTGGCGTCCTCTGTGAAGTAAACGCTCAACGACACAACTAGTATATTATACCATCGTTAGATGTCAGACCAATACTATTTCGGTAGATTTTCTAATTTTAAAAAGATTATAAGTCCATTGAATTCAATTCAATGATAGTACTGTTATCTAATTTTGCTATCGCCTATCATTGTATTTCAGCACTTACATGCTACGACAAAAAATGATAAATTCATTGTAAAACACTTCAATTAAAACAGATTTTTTTAATTTTTTAACAACCTAACATCAACCCCAATTAGAGAAACGTGTTAATAATTTATTAATAGTGCAAGAAACTAAATACAGCACATACTTATTAATTTCCAACGGGCCATTATGATCTACAGGCCAGGTGGCAATCGCCACCCGCTCCCTCGGGCCAGTGCGCCCCTGGTTATACACTGCCTTTTTTTGAGCCTCTCAAAAAAATTGTCTCAGATCGACCCGGAAAAAAAATTTTCTTATAGAATGTGGCCTGTAGAATTCATAATTTCAAACAGTTCCAAGATTGGGCTACTAGTTCAAAAGTTACAGCCCTTTGAATTTTCTTTCGAAATTGGGTTCTTTTCTAGTCTATAACTTTTGATTGAGAAGTCTGATCGAAAAAGTACGAATTGTTTTGGATTCTACGCACCAAAAATAATAAGAAAAAGTGTTTTCCCGAGAAATTTTGGTGTAGTCGATTTTTGGTAAAAAAGGAAGGTTATACACTGCCTTTTTTTTGAGCCCCGAAAAAAAAATTGTCTCAGATCGACCCGGAAAAAAAATTTTCTTATAGAATGTGGCCTGTAGAATCCATAATTTCAAACATTTCCAAGATTGGGCTACTAGTTCAAAAGTTACAGCCCTTTGAATTTTCTTTCGAAATTGGTTTCTAGTCTATAACTTTTGATTGAGAAGTCTGATCGAAAAAGTAAGAATTGTTTTGGATTCTACGCACCAAAATTAATAAGAAAAAGTGTTTTCCCGAGAAATTTTGGTGCAGTCGATTTTTGGTAAAAAAGGAAGGTTATACATTGCCTTTTTTTGAGCGCCGAAAAAGAAATTGTCTCAGATCGACCCGGAAAAAAAATTTTCTTATAGAATGTGGCCTGTAGAATCCATAATTTCAAACAGTTCCAAGATTGGGCTACTAGTCCAAAAGTTACAGCCCTTTGAATTTTCTTTCGAAATTGGTTTCTAGTCTATAACTTTTGATTGAGAAGTCTGATCAAAAAAGTACGAATTGTTTTGGATTCTACGCACCAAAATTAATAAGAAAAAGTGTTTTCCCGAGAAATTTTGGTGCAGTCGGTTTTTGGTAAAAAAGGAAGGTATAACACTGCCTTTTTTTGAGGCCCGAAAAAAAAATTGTCTCAGATCGACCCGAAAAAAATTTTCTTATAGAATGGGGCCTGTAGAATCCATAATTTCAAACAGTTCCAAGATTGGGCTACTAGTTCAAAAGTTACAGCCCTTTGAATTTTCTTTCGAAATTGGTTTCTAAGTCTATAACTTTTGATTGAGAAGTCTGATCGAAAAAGTACGAATTGTTTTGGATTCTACGCACCAAAATTAATAAGAAAAAGTGTTTTCCCGAGAAATTTTGGTGTAGTCGAATTTTGGTAAAAAAGGAAGGTTATACACAGGGGCGGACTGGGTACTTAAGGGCCATTAAGCCATTAAAGTATTAGTGTAGTAATGAAGGTGCCGGGGGGGTAGCTCTGAGGTGCACCACAAAAACATTTTAAAGTACTCCTTTCTCGAAAATCAATTACCATACAGTTTTTTTTTAAATTGCAGCTGATAATTAAAAGTAACAAAATATACAATCCACACGAGGTGCGTCGCCTATCATTGTATTTCAGCACTTTCATGCTACGACAAAAAATGATAAATTCATTGTAAAACACTTCAATTAAAACAGAATTTTTTAACAACCTAATATCAACCCCAATTAGAGAAACGTGTTAATAATTTATTAATAGTGCAAGAAACTAAATACAGCACATACTTATAAATTTCCATCGGGCCATTATGATCTACAGGCTAGGTGGCAATCGCCACCCGCCTCCCCCCGTGCCAGTCCGCCCCTGTCAAGGAAAAATGGGAAAAAAAAGAGAATCAAATGTAAAACAAGGTCCCGACATTGCTGTTATTGCTGTTAATGTAACTATTCGTTGCATTACTCATAGAAACATTTCATGGTAGTTTTACTTCTGAAAAAGTTCCGGATAGCCATTCGGGGGATTTTTGATCAAGGCGTTGAATGACAGACTCTGTAAAACCTTGATTGATGTTATAGATAATAAAATACAGCAAAAAATTAACTTTTTTTACAAGCTTTTTGCACTAACCATGTTGCTTAATCATTAGTTGAAGATCTAACAATAAGTACTAACACACAACAACTTAATCGGGACAGTGAAGTTCGTAACAACTCGATTTCAGACTGTAATTGTTTTCAATTTGGCCTCTGGGAGTATCTCAGATCAAGTATCACACTATTTTTATAAACAGAAGAGAGCATCCCCTCGAGGAGTGCCACTCGATGCCGAAGTGCTATGAACGGACATGCCCTCTGAGGTGGCTGCTCTATAGAATCCTCCCTTTCTGTTTTGCGCTTCCAAAAAAACCTGAATAAAGACCCCCATTACTACCCTGTTGGTCTCGAAAGTGTGAATGGTTGTTGTAATTAGACCTAAGTTATAGAGCAATTGTCTCTTGGCCTACAACCAAATATGTAACCTTAGATCATACTATATGATCTAAGCATGTAACCTTTGGGACCATTTGCAAAGACAAGCATGCATGCGAGCACGATACAGACCACCCCAC